TCTCTGTACTTTTTCCAAAGTCTTAACTTTGTGGTGACCAAAACTGGATGCGGTATTCCAGGTATGGTCTTACTCAGGTTTTATAAAGTGGTACTAACACTTCATGTGATCACCAGGTACAGTTCTATGCTACTTGAAACACACAAATTAAATTGTGTCGCATTTTACAGGCAAACTCATGCCCAGCCGCACAGGCATTGCTCTACATTCAGATGGGTTTATAACAATTTGGACCTTGTCAAGCTGTTAGTTGTAACACAACAGCGTGGGAAAAAAATAATCATATTAAAGTTGGGTAATTTCTCTTTGCAGGGCTGAAAACTCAATTAATGGCTGGAGGGCACAGATTTAATCTGACAAGCTCCCTAGCTTTAATTCCATTAAACAAGAGTCAGGAAAACTTGATTATTATTTTTTTCCTTCAAGATAATCGCATGAATATGATCAATCTAACACTTTCCACCAGCACGATTTACATTTGGTCTTCCAGGCGTCCATAGATGTCAATTTTCCACCTTTTCAATTGTGATTAGTGGTTGCATCCTTTCTAGAGACAAACCAGAATTCTTTGGAGGACACTAAAGAATGAAGTTTCCATAACAACTTTGAGATGCAACCCATCAAATCAGACGGTAAGAAGATATACCAGATACTTCTTCACACCAAGAGTTGGCTATTCCACACTTTTTAATAAGTGAGAAACCACACAGGGTGATCAGAACTGTGGGAAGTTTATTCATTTTAAGGCAATATGCTCACAAACAAAGGTTTATGAGGGCTTCTTGACTTCATGGCTAGAGGTATTCTTAACTTTGGCCCATCCTAAGCCCCCAAATTCCTCACAACGAAGCAGTACCTTAATAGTCCATAGCTCTAATTCGAAGGGTCCTTGATGCTGTCTAAGCTTGGTTGTTTTCTTGCAGACATTCCAACTAGGTAACAGAAGGAGAAAGTTCCACCTTCTAGCACTGATAATGTTACCTGGTTGGATCATGAAATGTCTGCAAGAAAACGAACAAGCTCAGAGGTCACCACAGTTGTCCTCCTCCTCCTCCTCCTCCTTCTCTCTGCACACCCTACTCCCTTCTAGCACTGATGATGTTATCTAGTTGGGTCATGAAATGTCTGCAAGAAAATGAACAAGTTCAGAGGACGCCACACTTCTCCTTCTCCTCCTCCTCCTCCTCCTCCTTTCCTCCTCCTCTTCCTTCTCTCCTTTTTTTCTCTGAACACCCCACTCCCTTCTAGCACCGATGATGTTACCTAGCTGGGTCATGAAATGTCTGCAAGAAAATGAACAAGCTCAGAGGACGCCACACTTCTCCTCCTCCTCCTCCTCCTCCTCCTCCTCCTCTTCCTCCTTTCCTCCTCCTTCTCTCCTTTTTCTCTCTGCACACCCCACTCCCTTCTAGCACTGATATTACCTAGCTGGGTAATAAAACACCTGCAAGAAAATCACCAAGACAGCACCAAGAACCCCACAGACATTGACCTTCTCCTTCCCCCCTCTTCCTCTTCCTCTTCCACCTCCTTCTCCTTCTTTTATCCACACACCCCGTCCCTTCTAGCACTGATGATGTTGCCTAGTTGAGTCATGAAACATCTGCAGGAAAACAACCAAGCCCAGAGAGCACCAAGGACCCCACAATTCAACCTGAACTGCAAATCCTCTCTTTTATCCGTATCTTTGATTGCCCCAGAACTTGTTTGTGCTGATTTTCAACCTACTGCTCTGTGTCCATGACTCAGAAATCTTTTGATGTGTCTTCTGAAGCCTTCCAAGACAACTTTGCAGAAGGCAGGAGACCAGAAGAATGCAAGTCTCCATAGGGTTGTGTTATGATGTGCACATGACCTCTTCCTGTCCTGGAATATACATTTATGGGACCCATGATTCAGATTGTCACACCATCTTTGCTTATCTGTCTCTAGGGCAGCCAGGAGTGACAATATCTAAGCTACAAAGGAGACCATCTAAGTCAGTGGTTCTCAACCTTTTTAATGCCGCGACCCCCAACCGGTCGTAAGTCGAGGACTACTCAAACGGTTGTAAGTCGAGGACTACTCAACTGGTGCAGCACCGTTTGCAGAATGGGACTTTTGGCGGGCTCAGCAGGGCAGAGACAGCCTGGACAATTCCTATTGGCTTTTGAAAGCCAATAGAATTAGACTCTATTCAAGAGAGTCTATTCAATTGGCTTTCCAAAGCCAATAGAATAAAAGGGAGAAGCACAGCTAAGGAAAAGGGGGAAAAAATGGCGGACTGCGTTGTTTGGCGACCCCCGTGAAATGGTCGTTCGACCCCAAATGGGGTCCCGACCCACAGGTTGAGAACCACTGCTCTAAGTTGACCATCTTTTGGCCAACTTCTGCTTCACATTAAACGGGCCCCTAGTGTTCATCCTATTGAAACATGGTTAGTCCTTGATTTATGACCAGTCATTTTTCTGGTGCGTATTAAATGCCCGCAGTGTTCGTCCTGATGAAATACGGATAGTCCTTGATTTACGACTGGTTGTTTTTCTGGTTCACATTAAATGACTTTAGTGTTTATCCTAATAAAACACAGATAGTCCTTGTGTTATGATAAGTCCCTTTTCTAGTCCATATTAAATAACCTAGTATTCAACCTAATGAACTACAGGTAGTCCTTGACTTATGACCGGTCACTTAGTAAACATTCAAAGTTACGACAGATCCCAAAAAAGGTACTTATGACTGGTTACAAAGTTACAATATCCAGTTACCTGCCCGGTCATATGAATGCATTTGGGTCTTTGTAACTAACCTACATTTACGTCCTGCGATCACATGACCACAACTTATAAAGGTTTTGCCCAAAACAGATATGGACTTTGGTTTCTAGCAAAATCACCCATAGCTAAATATGGTTTCGCTTAATGACCATGCCACTTACTGAACAATCATGATCCCTGCATTCACTTAACAAAAAAATGATAAAATTGCATTGGTTGCCTGATGATCTGCTTTACGACTGCCATGACTTATGATCATTATTGTCAAAGACAATCATGAGAAATACCTGTAGAACTGTCACGGCTATCTGCCCCCTGACTTGAGGGGTATTTTTGATACCACCGGTTTTGTGCGTTTGTAGCATTTAGCAACCCAAAACGTGACACACCAGGTCTTCATTGTTGAAACACTACACTACACTAACACAGAAGGGAATGGCTAGCTGATGAGAGCTAAGTAGCTCTAAATAGCTATACCGATCTCCCTTTAATTCTTTACCGGTAAATTTAAATTTAGCACTACACATAAGACATTCTTCACGCAACGAGGATTTGCAAGATACGTCAAGACTGTTGGGCAATGTTTTGTACCAAAGCACCTATAGAGAGCAATAATACAGCAGAGGCTCATGGAAAGCAATTACACACCCATTTGGGTGCAGATGGGTGAGGAATATTTAACAAGGCAATGGTGAGCACCTCCACGTGGTTAAAACACAATGCCAAAACTGTCCGAACACAACCAGATTGTCTACGTCAGTGGTTCTCAACCTTTCTAATGCCGCGACCCCATAATACAGTTCCCCATGTTGTGGTGACCCCCCAACCACTTATACATCACCGGGTGCCAGGGGCGTGGCCAAAGAAAAAATGGCGGGCAGCCTTGTTTGGCGACCCCCGTGAAATGGTCGTTCGACCCCAAAAGGGGTCCCGACCCACAGGTTGAGAACCACTGGTCTACGTATAACCGAGGCTACATGTTAGGAGGGTTGAGCAAAGCATACAGGTAGTCCTTGGCTTACAACTATTCGAAGTTCGAAGTTACGACGACACTCAAAAAAGTGACTGAGTGTTTTTCACACCATTGCAGCATCCTTGCAGTCACATGATCAAAACTGGAATGCTTGGCAGTTGACTTATATGTATGACGGTTGCGGTGTTCTTTTTGCGACCTTCCCTCAAGCAAAGTCAATAGGAAAGGCAGATTCACTTAGCAACCACGTCACTATCTTAATTGTATCCGTTCACTTAACAGCTGCGGGAAGAAAGCTGAGGTAAAATGAGGCAAAACTCATTCAACAGTTGGCTGGCTTAGCAACAGAAATTTTAGGCATAATTGTGGTCGTAAGTCGAGGACTATCTGTATTTTCAAATTCTTACCAATAAATGCTGACTTCTCATTACAGGTAGTCCTCGGGTTATGACCACAGTCGGCAGCAGAATTTTCTTTAATAAGCAAGGTGTTTTTTAAGTTTTTATCTGATTTTATTACCTTTTTTTTTACCACAGATGTTAGGCAAATCATTCCAGCTGTTAAGTGAGTCACACAGTCATTAAATGAATCAGGCTTCCCCCATTGACTTTGCTGGTTGGAATCCAACAGGGAAGTCTGCAAATGGCGATCAGGCAACCTCAAAACCCTGCATCCCTCCTAAATACACCGGATTTTAATCATGTGACCACAACGGTCGTATGTGCGAGGACCTTTTTCAGGGCTGCTATAAATTCCAACCATCGTTAAACGACTGGTTGCAAATTGAGAAGCCCTGTACTCACTCTACGTTGCACCACAGAGCGACACGCTCCTCTGAAGAACATGAGGGGAGTAGAGTTGTGTGCACCCTGCACAATATTTAACATATCACAACATCGAAAATGGGGTGAGATGATTCCGCTGTGAATGATAGCTGTAGCCTTGAAGAAACAATGAGGAATTTCCGAACTTGGAGTTCGATCTGGGTGAAGCTTTGTACTTTCGCAGACACCTCCCCCCTTCACCCCCCCAAAATCAGGGTTTGCTATTCACACAATCAATGTTGATCAATGTTAGCTGCTTGAAGAGGTGTGGTCTTAAGCTCCCAGAATTCCCCTGCTGGCTTGTGTGGATTTTCAGCTCCCAGAATTCCTCAGCCAACCTGCGTGGACTTCAACTCCCAGAATTCCTCAGCCAGCCTTGCTGGCTGAGGAATTCTGGGAATTGAAGTCCGCCCATCTTCAAACAGAATTCAGAATCGCTGATCTCAATTAATTCTTAAGCATTGAGGTGGCTACTTTGATTCCTGAACTTGAGGGCATCACCCATTTTGGCTTCTTCTTCCAAGAAGGCATCATAAATTCATAATTGTTGCCTTGCCATTTCCGGCAAATTTCTGTTTGTACCTTGAAAAAGAAACAAAAAAAACAAAACAGCAGCCATTACTGGAAAAATCATCATTTATTCTTTTTTTACAGGTAGTCCTCGACTTATGACCGCAACTGAGCCCAAAACTTCTGCTACCAAGCAAGACAGTTGTTAAGTGAATTTCGCCCCATTTTACAACCTGTCTTGCCACAGTTGTTAAATGAATCACTGCAGTTATTAATTTAATAACACGGTTGTTAAAAGAATCTGGCTTCCTCATTGGCTTTGCTTGCCAGAAGGTCACAAAAGTGGATCACGTGACCCCGGGACGCTGCAACTGTCATAAATATGAGTCAGTTGTCAAGCAACTGAATTTTGATCACATATGTGGAGAATGGGGTGGTGGTCATAAGTGTGAGGACTGGTCATAACTATCTTTTTTTTAGTGCTGGCCACTGATCGAGTGGTTGATATAATTAAAAATGGGGTGGTGGTCATAAGGGTTATTGGTCATAAGTGTGAGGACTGGTCATAACTATCTTTTTTTCAGTGCTGGCCACTAATTGAATGGTTGATATAATTAAAAATAGGTACCAAAGTTAATAATGAAATACAAGGAGTCCTCGACTTACAGCAGTTCATTTGGTAACCAGCACTGAAAAAAGTGACATGACCGTTTTTCACATTTACGACCATTGTAGCATCCCCATGATCATGTGATCAGAATTTGGACATTTGGCAACTGACTCATATTTATGACAGTTGCTGGGTCACCTAATCCTTCTGTCAAGCAGTCAATGGGGAAGGCAGATTCACTTAACAACCGTGTGACTAACTTAACAACTGCAGTGATTCACTTAGCAACGGTGGCAAGAATGGTCCTTAAATGGGGCAAAACTCAATTAACATCTTTCTTGCTTAGCAAGGGAAATTTTGGAGTCAGCTGTAGTCCTAAGTTGAGGACTTCCTGTATTATTTACTAACTGTATATGCCACCCAAATCACTCTGGAGTTTATAATAGTTTTTTTCCCATGGATCTGCATTTTCTTAAACCTCTCCCCACTGCGGTTTCGGTTCAGCCTTCCTCAAGACAGATTGATTGATGCGTTATGTGTTCAGAAGTCATTTTCGACTCCTAGCAACCCCATAAATAGATTTTGTGCATGACAACATCGTTTGAGAGCTACCAAACTTGACTCATCCGTCCATCTCAAGTTCCGGAAAGACGCACTCAAAACATTGAAAAAAAGCAATATTTCTCAACCTTGGCAACTTAAAGATTTGTGAACTTCAACTCCCAGACTTCCCCAGCCAGCATTTGTGGATTTCATCTCCCAGAATTCCACAGTCAGCACGTGTGGATTTCATCTCCCAGAATTCCCCAGCCAACATGTGTGGATTTCATCTCCCAGAATTCCCCAGCCAGCATGTGTAGATTTCATTTCCCAGAATTCCCCAGCCAGCATGTGTGGACTTCATCTTCCAGAAATCCCCAGCCAGCATCTGTGGATTTCATCTCCCAGAAATCCCTGGCCAGCATGTGTGGATTTCATTTCCCAGAATTCCCCAGCCAGCATGTGTGGATTTCATTTCCCAGAATTCCTCAGCCAGCATGTGTGGATTTCACCTCCCAGAATTCCACAGTCAGCATGTGTGGATTTCACCTCCCAGAATTCCACAGTCAGCATGTGTGGATTTCATCTCCCAGAATTCCACAGTCAGCATGTGTGGATTTCATCTCCCAGAATTCCCCAGCCAGCATGTGTGGACTTCAACTCCCAGAAATCCTCAGCCAGCATGTGTGGACTTCATCTCCCAGAATTCCCTAGCCAGCATGTGTGGATTTCATCTCCCAGAATTCCACAGCCAGCATGTGTGGACTTTGACTGACAGCATGGCTGGGTGGGAATTCTGGAAATTGAAGTCCACACATCTTAAAGTTGTAACTGAGGAACATTGATTTCTCCTTCTATTTTGAGTGCCATTTTAAAAAGACAATTAAAAAAAATTAAAGACAATTTAATTCACCCTGAATTCGCCAAGTTCCTCCAGGCCTTGATCTCTCCAGAGGGTATTAAACCTCAGAGGGCTATGTTGGCCTGGGAAAAAGACATCATGGCTTCTCTTTTGCAGCCACAGGGATCTCAACAACTATTAAGTTCCTTACCTCTTGATTCAGAAAACAGTATAAAACAGCAACGATGAAACCCTAAATTGGAAAGAACATTGGTAGATTAGTGGAAGTTCATAGATTTCACTATGTGTAAAGATATATAGGTAGTCCTCAATTTATTACCACGATTGAGCACAACATTTATGTTGCTAAGTGAGACATTTGTTAAGTGATTTTTGCCTCATTTTATGACTTTTCTTGCCACATTTGTTAAGTGAATCACTACAGTTATTAAGTTAGTAACATGGTTGTTAAGTGAATCTGGCTTCCCCATTGACTTTGCTTGTCAGAAGGTCGCAAAAGGGGATCACGTAACCTCTGGGACATTGTGACCGTCATAAATACGAGTCAGTTGTCAAGCATTCAAATTTTGATTGTGTGACCAAGAGGATTCTGCAACAGTCGTGAAAAACTGTCAAAGTCACTTTTTTTCAGTCACTAAATGAACGATTGTACATCGTTTGTAATACAAACGCAAATGAATATTTTAATTCCTTCTTTCTAGCAATGCTATTTATGATTTGTTCAGGTAATCCATGACTTACAATCACTCATATACAGTGTTGGGATTCAGCCAGTTGTCACCAGTTCAGCAGAACCGGTAGCTAACTTTTTGTTGCCCAGACCCAGAATGGACGTCCGGAAGTGGCATCCATGCAGAGAACCAGTTGTTCACCTATTTGAATCCCACCACTGCTCATATAGTGACCAGTCAAAGTTGCAACAGCACTGAAAATAAGTTTTCACCAATACAGCATTCCCACGGTCATGTTGAGACTCTAGAAAGAGTACAGAGAAGAGCGACAAAGATGATTAGGGGACTGGAGGCTAAAACATATAAGGAACGGTTGCTAGAATTGGGTATGTCTAGTTTAACGAAGAGAAGGACGAGGGGGGACATGAATAGCAGTATTCCAATATCTCAGGGGCTGCCATAAAGAAGAGGGAATCAAGCTATTTTCCAAAGCACCTGAAGGCAGGACAAGAAGCAATGGGTGGAAACTAATCAAGGAGAGAAGCAACCTAGAACTACGGAGAAACTTCCTGACAGTGAGAACAATTAATCAGTGGAACAGCCTGCCTCCAGAAGCAGTAAATTCTCCAACACTGGAAGTTTTCAAGAAGAGACTGGACAGCCATTTGTCTGAAATGATATACGGTTTCCTGCCTGAGCAGGTGGTTGGACTAGATGACCTCCAAGGTCCCTTACAACTTTACTACTACTACTACCACTACTACTACTACTACTACTACTATTACTATTATTATTATTATTATTATTATTATTATTATTATTATGTGATCAAAATTTGGGCACTTGACACATGGCATATATTTACGAAAACCGCACTATCAGGTGATCCCCATTTGTAACCCTCGTAGGCAGCTTTCAAGAAGCAAAGTCAATAAACACATCTTCAATTTAACCTCACAACAACAAAAAAACTCTCAGAAAAAAAGAGCAATCAAATAAAGCAGACAATTGAACATAACCCAGAGGAAAGAGATTTAAAGATGGAATCCAACAATGGGAGGAATTATGACTTAACCCAGGTGGAGAAAAACTTGCAGGAAATATCGGACATGAAAAAGATAACCTACAACTTCAATAAGTCTGAGGATAAGGAAAAAGATTTGACAAAATGGATTATAGAACTGTCAGGAGAACTACGAGAACTTGAAAGACAAAAAATGCTAAAAGAAATTAAGAGAGAAAGAAAGAAAAAGATTTTCAATGAATACGAAGGGGTGAAACATTCCTACAAAAACAGCATACTTGACTTGTCTCTTGTACCTACAACATCTACAAGACTATGGGAAGACCTTCTGGTCCAGCAGAGCCTACTGATTAGGAAAGATGTTTGGCAAAAAAAAAAAAAAAAAAAGGCTAAAGTTAGAATCAAGAAATTAGATGATGGGATTTATCAGATGGAATATCTAAAGATTAAACACTTGTTTGAAAATGGTTAAAGAAATAGAAAAATTCTGGATATAAATGAATTTTAGTTTAAGAGGCATGGGCCCCTCAAGTAACATAGTATTTTTTTTATGATATGAGAAATATAAAAATGATGGGATGGTTTATATGAGGGAAATGTTTTAGATACTTAAGTGTAATTGATTTTGAGAAAATTTCAATTGATAAGAATGTTTTGAATAGATTTAAAAGATTAGATGATTGGATTTATTAGATGGAATACTTAAAGATTAAACATTTGTTTCAATAGGGTTAAAAAGAATAGAAAAATGTTGGATATAAATGTATTTTAGCTTAAGAGGGACATGTTTCTCAAGTAATATGCTATTTCTTTTTCTTTTTTTCTTCTCTTTTTTGTTTTGGTTTTAGGATATGAGAAATGTAAAATTGTTGGGATATGGCTCGTATGAGGAAAAAGATTTAAATACTTAAGTGTAATTAGCTCTGAGGAAATCTTAACTGGTAAGAATGTTTTGAATATTGCGAGGGAAACAAATCTAAATAAGAACTCTGAAAACAGGATTTATGACAAGGTAATTAAGATGATCAATTAGAAAAGAAGCTTTATATTGATGTGGTTGTTACTTATAGAAATACTAGAAAAATGTTTATATTCAATTGTTATCAAAATACTAAGAAATGTACTAACTCAAGATTGATAAAAGAGAATATTATTGGAAGAAGACAAAATCAAGGAAAGCTACTATGTGGATTATGGAATTATAGAAATTAATTGTTATTGATTGTTTTTAAAACACACTGTTTACCAAACATTAAGATGATTACGTTAAAAACTTAATAAAATATATTTTTAAAAAAGAAGCAAAGTAATGGGGAAAACCAGGTTCACTTAGTGACCACATGCTTCGCTTAGTGACCACATGACTCGCTTAATAACTGCAGTGATTCACAACAACTGAGGCAAGAAAAGTTGTAAAATTGGGGCAAAACTCACTCAACTGCCTTGCTTAACAACAGGTTAATTTTTGGTTAACAACTGTACTACTAACTTTATCACTGCCGTGATTCACTTAACAACTGTGGCAAGAAAGGTTGTAAAGTGGGGTAAAACCCAGTTAGCAACTGTCTGCTTTAGAAATGGAAATTTTGGCTTAATTTTGGTTGTACGTTGAGGCCTACTTGTGCCTCACAGGGCCAAGAAGTCTCCCCCATTCTTTTTTAAAAGCACCCCCCATAACAATATTGTTGTTGTTTTTTTAGCAAGATGGCCGCCATCCCACCATACTTCACCTGGAATGATCCAATGCACAGCTCCAAGAAGAGACGGGCTCCCACCTGGGTGTTTTCGGGCAGGAAGTTGAAGATGATGTAATGAGTCCCAAACAAGGGTATGAGGAGCAGGGTTGACTTAGAGAGGCGTCTAAGGAAGGAGTTGCGGGATGAGGGTGGGGAGAAATGTGGAGGGAAGAAAAAGCAAAGTTTACAGAACTAAAGGAAATATAAGTAGCAATGGCCACTAGAGGGCACTCATGCTGTCTGATGGAGAAGGCATAGTCTTCTCTATGGGACCATCCTGCATATTTGTCTTCATTGGTTAAAGCCCTGTGCTGTCTTTCTTTCTTTCTTTCTTTCTTTCTTTCTTTCTTTCTTTCTTTCTTTCTTTCTTTCTTTCTTTCTTTCTTTCTTTCTTTCTTTCTTTTGTTTCCTACCTTCTCCCTTCCTTAATTTCTCCTCCCTTCCTCCTTCTTTCCATTCATTTTTCCTTTCTTTTTCCTTCCTTACTCCCTCCCTCCCACTGTCTTCCTTCCTTCCTTCGTGCCTGCTTGCCTTTCTTCCCTCCTTCCCTTTCTTCCATTCTTCTTTTCTGTCTTTCTTCCTTTCATCCTTTCTTCCTTTTTCCTCCCTCCCTCCCTCCCCTTTTCTTTTTCTTTGTTTGTTTCTTTGTTTGTTTTTCTTCTTCCTTCCTCTTTCTTTTTTCTGTTTTGATTCCTACCTGCTTTTCCTTCCTTCCTTCCTTCCCTTCCTTCCTTCCTTTCCTTCCTTTCCTTTCTCCCTCTTTCCTTCCTTCCTTTCTTCCTTCCTTCCTCTTTCTTTTTTCTGTTTTGATTCCTACCTGCTTTTCCTTCCTTCCCTTCCTTCCTTCCTTCCTTCCTTCCTTCCTTCCTTCCTTCCTTCCTTCCTTCCTTCCTTCCTTCCTTTCTCCCTCCCTCCCTCCCTCCCTCCCTAAACCTTCACCCAAACTTTGGATGGTAATGCCAAGAATATTTCTCGATTGTCTCTTCTATTCATCATTTTTTATTGATTTATTCATACTGTGCATTGAAAATTTTCAATGGGGGGGGGGAGGTTTATAATAGAGAATGCTCCAAACTCTACAACTGAAAGAAAAACATGCACAGTAACATCAAATGAATTGGAAAATGGAAACAGAAGCACTTTCAGTTTTCTTCCAAATTTTCCTGTTCAAGAACAGATTTTGTGTGTGGGGGGGGGGAGACAAATAATTCTCCAACCTGCTTTACAGCCCCTCCTCCACTGTCTTACCTGTACTGAAATGAGCTGTTCAAATTGATTTTTCTGGGATTCAGTTTTTTCAGCAGGATTTGGAGAATATTGATGAAAAGAATGAAATTGATCTGTGGAAGGAAGAGAAAAAAAGAATGTATGGTTTGCAAAAAAAATAAGAGATGAAGCTGGTTTTTTTTTGTTTTTTTTCAAATTTGGCAACTTTAAGAAATGTGACTTCAACTTCCCAGGCTGGCTGGGGAATTCAGTGGCTTGAAGTCGACATTAAGATGTGTGGACTTGTGAGATAGATTGAAATAACAGTGACTAATGCAGGGGTCTTCAAAGTTGGCCACTTTAAGACTTATGGACTTCAACTCCCAGAATTCCTCAGCCAGCCTGGCTGGCTGAGGAATTCTGGGAGTTGAAGTCCACAAGTCTTAAAGTGGCCAACTTTGAAGACCCCTGGACTAATGCAATGTTCCTCAACCTTGGCTACTTTAAGATGGGTGGGCTTCAACTCCCAAGATTCCCCAGCCAGCTTGGGATTGTGGGTAATGAAATGCCTGAAAGAAGACAACCAAGCTGAGAGCACCACATCTACCTAAGCATGGAACCCTGGGAGTTGAAGTCCACATAAGAAGCATGGAACCCTGGGAGTTGAAGTCCACATAAGAAGCATGGAACCCTGGGAGTTGAAGTCCACATAAGAAGCATGGAACCCTGGGAGTTGAAGTCCACACATCTTAAAACGACTAAGGTTGCGAAACCCTGGCTAATGGATTGTTCTCAAACTGAATTTTCTTTCCCATTTTCCCTTTATTCTGCTCGTTCCAATCCTTGAATTATTTGTCACTAGATATTTGTCAATAGGCAGCACTCACCCTGGGAATATCCCCAAATATCTGCTCGGCTCAACTCAACAAAAATGAGCTTTTTCTCTGCTCTGCATGTATTTATTTACATGTTGTTCTCGACTTACGACCACCGTTGGGACCAGGATTTCTGTTGCTGAGTGAAAGGATTGTAAAGTGAATCAAGTCCAATTTTATGACCATTTTTTGCCACGGGAAATAAGCCAGCTGCTGCAGTGATTAAGTGATTTGCACGGTCATTAAGGGAATCAGGTTTCGCTCACTGACTTTGCTTGGAAGCTAGCTGTGATCATGTGACCCCAGGATGCTGCAGCCGTGATAAACACATGCCAGATTCCAAGCACCTGAATTTTGATCACATCAACATGGAGATGCTGTGATGGTTGTAAGTGTGAGGACTGGTCGTAAGTCACTTTGTTCTGCGCCTTTGTAATTTCGATCGGTCACTAAACAAATGGGCTGCCTGTACTGAATTTATAGGCTACCCCACATCTGCCACAATTCTGAGTAACTTAGAAATTAAATTGCTTCATTCTATTCTCCCAGGCAGAGGGCTACAACTCCATTGTTAGGGCGGCCATCTTGACTTTTTCACCCATCTCCCCTCTCCCTCAAGAACTCCTTCCAAATCCTTTCTTTTCCTCCTTTCTGCTTAGGTCCTAACCTCAAAACTAGAATAACCAGCACAAGAATTGTCATTTTGGACTTAACCCAATCCTTGCCCATATCAGGAGAGTCCAAGAAGGTCAGAAAAGTCAAGATGGTGGCCACAACCACCATCTTATAAATATAGAATCAGGGTTATATTTATATACTATATACCATAAGTGTATAATTAGGGTTATAATTATATAATATGAAAATATATAATCAGGGTTATAATTATTTTATATATATATATATATATATATATATATATATATATATATATATATATATATATATAAAAATCAGGGTTATATAACATATAAGGGTATAATCAGCGTTATAATTATATAACATATAAGTGAATAATCAGGGTTTTAATTATATAATATATGTATATAATCAGGGTTATTATATAATATATAAGTATATAATCAGGGTTATATAACATATATGTGTATAATCAGGGTTATAATTATATAACATAAGTGAATAATCAGGGTTATAATTATATAACATTTAAGTATAATTAGCGTTATAATTATATAATATATAAGTGTATAATCAGGGTTATAATTATATAAGTGTATAATCAGGGTTATAATTATATAACATATAAGTGTATAATCAGGGTTATAATTATATAACATATAAGTGTATAATTAGGGTTATAATTATATAACATATAAGTGTATAATTAGGGTTATAATTATATAATATATAAGTCAGTGTATAATCAGGGTTATAATTATATAATATATAATTATATAATATATAAGTGTATAATCAGGGTTATAATTACATAATATATATGTAATATATAATCAGGGTTATAATTATATAATTAAACAATTATAAAAATAACCCCCTCCCTCAAAAAGGGAGGGGCTCCAATGACGAGGTGGTGGCCGCCATCTTGACTTTTCTGACCTTTCCTCACAGAATCCTGGGCCATCACCACCATAGGCTCCTTGCTCAGATCTACTGGCAGCAAAACCAGTTGCAATTCCCACCACTGATATAAAGCAAACTGGAAACCAGATACAGACCCCAACAGAGAGCATGATGGGGCCCTGGATGACCCACCAGTAAGGGGAACCTTGATTCGTGTCCCAGCACCTGGAGGGAGGGAAGGAGGGAGAGAGAGAGAGAGAGAGAGAGAGCTATGATGGTTAATGCTTATAAACAGATATTTTTTTTATATTTCCTCCCTTTCTCTCGGATTTGTTTCTGGACTGCAGTTTTTCTGAGTATGTCCGCCTGGAGAGAGGAACTGCCGTTCATGTTCACACAAGTTTGAAGGCATTTTGTGGAACATTACTGTAACAAGCAGAGCATTGTCACAATCTGATTATTGTGATTACTACTCTGGGGTGATTAACTAGATCTGACCTAGAACTAAGGCGAAATTAACTAAGTGAGAACAATTAACCAGTGGAACAGTTTGCCTCCAGAAGTTGTGGATGCTCCATCCCTGGAGGGTTGAAAGAAGAAATTGGACCTCCATTTGTCTGAATGAGCAGGGGGTTGGACTAGATGACCTCCCAGATCCCTTCCAGCTCTGTTATTCTGTTATTCTATCCCACATATGATTTTATTAATAAAAACTTTGTGAAGCCCTTGGGAACTGCCTGGGCTTTGAAAGGCTAGGGATGCTCATCAATTTAGGTTTTGAGGAGTCCCACCAGCCCAGCTTCAAAGGTGAAAAAATGTAGAGCTTCATTCTGTGGGATGATAAATTAATTTGTACCATGAACTTCTATGCAGATCTTCAGTTTGACTCAGGAATTAGAATTGTCTAATTCCAGCATTGACAATTTGGGATTCTTTTGAGTCAAATCTGACAAATCAGATAGCTTTCTTCTTCTTCTTCTTCTTCTTCTTCTTCTTCTTCTTCTTCTTCTTCTTCTTCTTCTTCTTCTTCTTCTTCTTCTTCTTCTTCTTCTTCTTCTTCTTCTTCTTCTTCTTCCTCCTCCTCCTCCTCCTCCTCCTTCTTCTTCTTCTTCAGATAGCTTTCTTCTTCTCTCTCTCTCTCCTCTTTTTCTCTTTTTCTCTCTTTCTCTTTCTCTCTTCCTCTTTTTTCTTTTTTCTCTTTCTCTCTCTTTCTCTCTCTCTTTCTCTCTCTCTCTTTCTCCTCCCTCTCTCTCTCTCTCTCTCTCTCTCTCTCTCTCTCTCTCTCTTCCTTTCTCTTTCTCTCTCTCTCTTTCTCTTTCTTTCTCTCCTTCTCTCTCTTTCAGTGCTGTTGTAATTTCAACAGTCACTGTTGTAAGTATACCTGTAATGGGGTGCCTTGACACCCCTTCAGTTTTGGCCAGTATACTGTCAGCCTTAACTTAAAACCACTCCTGACTTAGACACCAAATCCAGATGTTTCCCTGCCCAAATCGCCCCCCCACACACACACACATACATTGCAGCAATGTGAGAAATAAGCTTTGACTTACAGATCATTTTCAAAATGCAGTTTGAGTACTGCCCACAACGTGGTGAAGAATGTCGGGACACCTTGAGAAATCAGAGAAGAAAAAAGAGAATTGGTGAATGCATTCAATTCTGCTCACAGCTGGCTGGGTGGCTGCCTTCCTGGGGATTCACACAGCAATTCTAAATTTTCAGTGATAAACAAGGAGGAAAAAAATAATAATAAATCGACACCCTACAATTTGACCTTTGCAAATTTATCTCCAGAACTATCTAGAGCCCCAAATTCAATTAGTTTATCAAACAGGGATGGTTTTGTACAAAATACAGGTAATCCCCGACTTACAATTATTCATTTAGTGACTGTTTTAAGTTATGACGGCACTGGGAAAAGTAACTTATGGCCATTTTTTACAGGACCGTGTCCCAGGGTCATGTAATCAAAATTCAGAGGCTCAGCAACTGGCATGTACTTATGACAGTTGCAGGGTCCCGGGGTCACGTGATCCCCTTTTGGGAACTTCTGACAAGCAAAGTCAATGGAGAAGCCAGATTCACTTAATAACCGTGTCCCTAACTGAACAACTGCAGTGATTCATTTAATAACTGGGGCAAGAAAGGTTGTTAAAAATGGGGTAAAATTCACTTAACAACAGACTCGTTTAACAACAGAAAGTTTGGGCTCAGTTGTGAGCATAAGTCGAGGACTGGTTTTATCATAATTTTCATTGAGATTTCTCTAACTTTCTCTATCCCTTCCTTCCTCCTTCCCTCCCTCCATCTTTCTTTCTTTCTTTCTTTCTTTCTTTCTTTCTTTCTTTCTTTCTTTCTTTCTTTTTCTTTTTTTCTCTTCTTAACTACCCACCTTCCTTGTAGACTGTTAGCTTGTTTGTCTAAGTTGCTTGATAGAGATATTTTTTACTTCTTGATTGTTGATTTAGTGTTAATCTTGGTGTTAAACTCAAATGAGTGTTGATTGCTAGTGAGGAGATGTTTTGGTCTTTTTTGGTTCCTTTTGGAGTTTTTTTTTATTGTTTCTTTTGAATGGTGTGTACACCATTGTTTATGTCTCTGTGCCTGTCGATAGCCAATTTGTCTGATTGCCAAGTTTCCAGGAATTCTCTCACGGTTTTGGAATTGGTCTAGGATATTCACAGTTTCCCAGTTGAAACTATGGATCAGTTTGTCTGTGTGTTGTGAAATTAAGGACTTTTCGTCATGTCTTCTGACTTGAACGATTTCTTTAATCCAGCTACTTACTAGCAAAAGGATAGTTTCTGATTCAGCCTAAAAAATGCATTGATCAATAATTGGGGAAATTAATGTTATTAAAAGGCCCAGAGTCTTCTCCTAGCACAATTCTTATCCTAGCCTTTTGTTGCTTATATTATGATTGCTCAGATAGTCAGCCAGATATTTATTATTTATTATGATTTGCTGCACAGTCAGCCAGATGTTTAGACTGGATTTGGCCTTTTAGTTCTTCCCAAGGACCTGAGATAAGCAGATGTTGAGGTTTGATGGTGTTAAATGTCTTGTTGCAGGAAATGGAGCAACCTTGTGCAATTGACCCATTATGATTTTGTCAGTGCCGATGGTGTTCCAACGATGCTCCAGATGTTTTCCAATCCAAGGCACCTATTACTACTGTTGGAGCTATCTTTGCTTTCTTTTGTCACCGTCATTCTACTTCTATTTGCAGGTCTTTGTACAGTATTTTGCAATTTTTCCCCAATTCCTTTCTCTTCTACAGGTGGTCCTCAACTTAGGACCACAACTGAGACCAAAATTTCTGTTGCTAAGTGAGCTTTGCTGCATTTTGTGACCTTTCTCACTCCAGTTATTAAGTGAATCTCTTCAGTTAGTCACACAGTTAATAAGTGAATCTTGGACGCCCTATTGACTTTGCTCGTCAGAACGTCGCAAAAGGGGATCACATGACTCTGGGACACTGCAACAGTCATAAGTACATGTCAGTTTCCAAGCCTCTGAATTTTGATCACGTGACCAAGGGCATGCTGCAATGGCCGTTAAGTATAAAAAACGGTCATAAGTCACTTTTTGTCAATACCTAAATGATTGGTTGTAAGTCGAGGCCTGCCTGTAACACAAATCTCTTTTCTCTGTGCCATTTTAACTTTGGTCACTAAACGAACTGTTGTAACTTGAGGACAACCTGCATTCTGCTATCTCTAGGGACTGCAGTGTCTACTATTATTACAACTATGGTTTGCATTACAACTTTTCTTCCTGGCTTTCTTCCGACAAGCAATAGGAGAATCCCGATTCACTTAACAATCATGTGATTCACTTAACGACTGCAGTGATTCACTGAACCAGTCTCTCTTTGTTTCATCTGTTCCATTTAATTCCTTTTGATCCAAGGTTTCAAACCGAATCAATACTTTAAAACAGTTTGCCTGTCCTCTCTCAGACCTGCATGATCTTACCCTGAATACAGTGCTGGCTCATACTTATGACGGTCTCAGTGTCCCCACAGTCATGTGATCTCCTTTTGCGACCTTCTGACAAGTGAAGTCAATGGGGGAAGCTGGATTCACTTAACAACCAGGATTATTAACTTATCAACTGCAGTGATTCGCTTAACAAACGCAGCAGGAAAGGTGGTAAAGTGGGGCAAAGCAAACGTCTCACTTAACCACAGAAATTGTGGTCGCAAGTCAAGGACTACCTATACAGATGGTCCTCAACTTACAACCATTCATTTAGCGGCCATTTGAAGTTGCAGTGGCACTGAAAAAAGTGACCTAGGACTAGTTCTCGCACTTACGACCATCGCAGCATCCCTGTGGTCACGTGATCACCGTTTATGAACTTCCCAGCTAGCTTCTGACAAGCAATGGAAGAATCCTGTTTCACTTAACAACCACGTGATTCACTTAACAACGGCAGCGATTCACTTAACAACTGTGACAAAAAAGGTCGGAAAATCGGGTGTGATTCCCTTAATAACTACCCTGCTTAGCAATAGAAATTGTGTTCCCTATTGGGGTCATAAGTTGAGGACTACAGCTGTACCCAAACGTGTGTGAGAATCTGCACTTATTTTCTACAAGCTCTCCTTTTTTTAAAATAATAATAATAATAATAATAATAGGAAGAAAAAAAAAAAGAAGAAGAAGAAGAAGAAGAAGAAGAAGAAGAAGAAGAAGAAGAAGAAGAAGAAGAAGAAGAAGAAGAAGAAGAAGAAGAAGAAGAAGAAGAAGAAGAAGAAGAAGAAGAAGAAGAAGAAGAAGAAGTAGTAGTAGTAGTAGTAGTAGTAGTAGTAGTAGTAGTAGTTCGGGCTAAACAGAAGCAGGTTAAATGAATCTGCACTTGGAAAAAATGGGGAACATTTTAAAAACAGATTTTTCTTTTCCTGAGATTCCACAGGGTGATGCAAAAGTATGGATTTTATATGCTGAAGCCCAACTAGAGAAAACGCTTTCCACCCATGAGTAAAAGTGGCTCTGAGTATCCCTTCTGCCCCCCTTGGTTGAATGGCTGAAGGGGGCAAAGAGAGATAATTCTAGATCAGGGGTAGGCCACCTTGGCTCTTTTATGACTCGTGGACTTCAACTCCCAGAATTCCTGAGCCAGCCATGCTGAGGGGAAAGGGAGAATTTCCAAGCTGAGCCATGCTGGCTCAGGAATTCTGGGAGTTGAAGTCCACAAATCATAAAAGAGCCAAGGTTGCCCACCCCTGTTCTAGATGCAGCATATTGAGTTTGTTTGTTTATTAATGTGCATCCACTGGCTTTGTTATTTTTACAAACAACTCAAGGTGCCTAACATGTCCTTCCTCCACCTATCTTCTCCACGATCACAACCCTGTGAGGTGGGTTGGGCTGAGAAAAAGAAACTGACACAAAGGTGGGATTAGAACTCACTATCTCCTGATGATTGGCCCAAAGTCACGTAGCTGGCTTTCATGCCTAAGGCAGAACTAGGACTCCCAGTCTCCTGATGATTGATCCAACATCACACAATTGGCTTTCATGCCATAGGCAGATTAGAACTCAGTCTCTGGGTGATTGGTCCAAAGTCACCCAGTTGGCTTTCATGCTTACGGCAGAACTAGGACTCCCAGTCTTCTGGTGATTGGTCCAAAGTCACCCAGTTGGCTTTCATGCCATAAGCAGGACTAGAATGTCCAGTCTTCTGGTGATTGATTCAAAGTCACCCAAGTGGCTCCAGGACTAGTATAGGTAGTACCTTGCTCAATAGTAGTAACTGTGAGAGGGATCTCGGAGTCCTAGTGAACAATCACTTAAATAGGAGCCAGCTATGTGCTGCAGCTGCCAAAAAAGCCAACACAGTGCTGGGCTGCATTAACAGAGGGATAGAATCAAGATCTCGTGAAGTATTAATACCATTTTACAAGGCCTTGGTAAGGCCACACTTGGAATACTGCATCCAGTTTTGGTCACCACTATGTAAAAAAGATGCTGAGACTCTAGAAAGAGTGCAGAGAAGAGCAACTAAGAGGATCAGGGGACTGGAGACTAAAACATATAAGGAACGGTTGCTGGAATTGGGATAGAATCAAGATCAAGTGAAGTATTAATACTACTTTACAATGCCTTGATAAGGCCACACTTGGAATCAAGATCTCGTGAAGTATTAATACCATTTTACAAGGCCTTGGTAAGGCCACACTTCGAATACTGCATCCAGTTTTGGTCATCACGATGTAAAAAAGATGCTGAGACTCTAGAAAGAGTACAGAGAAGAGCAACAAAGAGGATGAGGGGACTGGAGGCTAAAACATATAAGGAACGGTTGCTGGAATTGAGTATGTCTAATTTAACGAAGAGAAGGACGAGGGGGGACATGACAGCAGTCTTCCAATATCTCAGGGGCTGCCCCAAAGAAGACGGAGTCAAGCTATTCTCCAAAGCGCCTGAAGGCAGGACAAGAAGCAACGGAGGGAAACTAATCAAGGAGAGAAGCAACCTAGAACTAAGGAGAAACTTCCTGACAGTTAGAACAATTAACCAGTGGAACAACCTGCCTCCAGAAGCGGTGAATGCTCCAACACTGGAAGTTTTTAAGAAGAGACTGGACAGACATTTGTCTGAAATGGTATAGGGTTTCCTGCCTGAGCAGGGGGTTGGACTCGATGACCTCCAAGGTCCCTTCCAACTTTATTATTATTATTTTTTTTATTGAAAATTTTTAAAAGTTTTTCCAAAAACAACAAAAAAACAACAACAAACAAGAAAAACAGAACAAAACAACCCTCACCCAACCCCTCCCAAACCACCCCCTCCATCCCCCCCCTGAGCTTCCCGGAGCTGAATATAGGCTTAATTAAAATTTTAAGAAACCTAAACAAATTTTTACAACTTATAAAATAGTTAATAATAAAATATATATGACATAAACGTTAAGGGAAAAAAAATACTTAAAAAGAGAAAAAAAGAAAAAAGAAAGAAAGAGAAAAAGAAATAGGAAAAAGAAAAAAAAGAGAAAACAATCTATAAAATATCAAAAATTATATACAAGTTACAAAAAGGCTAAATAATATTTTTTTATATCCAATTTATATTGTATAAAATTTATCCATTTTTCCCATACAACAAGAAATTTCTCTTGCGATTGCCTTTAAAAAAGCCGAAATCTTTGCCATTTCTGCCAGATAAGAAACTTTAAAAAACCACTCTTGCAAGGTAGGCAAAGATTCCTTCTTCCAATATTGCCCTACTAACAGCCTTGAGGCTGTAATCAAATTTAACATTAATATAACCTCCTTAGCATCACAATCAGTAACAATACCTAACAAAAATAATTGCGGAGTAAATTTTACCCTCCTTCTAAAAATTCTTTGAATATTCCACCATATCTTAATCCAAAAAGCTTTTATATTTTTACACGACCACCAGATATGATAATAAGTGGCATCCAAACAGCCACATCTCCAATACTTAGGCTGTAAATCAGGGTACATAAGAGACATTTTTTGTGGATCAAGGTGCCATCTATAAAACATCTTATAAAAATTCTCCCTTAAGTTCTGGGCTTGTGTAAATTTAACATTTCTCACCCAGATAATTTCCCAGGTATCCAGTGGGATTGGCTCACCAAAATTTTGTGCCCATTTAATCATACAGTCTTTAATTAATTCAGATTCTGAATCCAATTCCACTAGAACCCCATAAACCCTCTTAATGTGAGTTTGTTTTTGATCCTTTACTTGTTTAAAAAGATTTTCATCTTCTCTAAGCCAGCCCACATTACAATCCACCTTCCAACTTTATTATTATTATTAACTCACAGTCTTCTGGTTTCTAGCCTAATTCCTTACTGGCTCTTTGCATCCTTCTGATGACACCCCTTTATTGATGGTGATTTAACCGCATTTCTTTTAAACAAATGAGGAAGAAGGCAGTTCAAGAAGTCAGCTTGACTTACCCCATCCAAAGAGGACAAGCCACCAGTAGTATTTCCTTCCATGGGGAAAGGAGGAAAGAAGCAGCCAGTTGAGGTACAGAGCTTCTGCTAACAGCCACATGAAGTTGGCCATGGTGAAGTAGTGAAGGAGCACCATGGAGATCTTGCATCCAGCCTGCGGAAGAAGCAAGGAGATATCTCAAGCAACCTTCTCATTGGCATGGGTTCATTCAAATCCTATCTCCAAACAGTATCCTGGCAAATAATATCTTGGCAAAGAAAAATATGGCAGGAATAGCTGACCCCATAAGATAGGCTCAAGATACAGATGGGCGCTATCTAACAAAATGAAATTCAATAGTGAAAAAAGTAAGGTTCTACATTTAAGCAAGAAAAACCAAATGTACAGGTATAGCATAGGGGGAACCTTGCTCAGTAGTAATAACTGTGAGAGGGATCTTGGAATCCTAGTGGACAATCACTTAAATAAGAGCCAGCCGCGTGCTGCAGCTGCCAAAAAAGCCAACACAGTTCTGGGCTGCATTAACAGAGGGATAGAATCAAGATCTCGCGAAGTATTAATACCATTTTACAAGGCCTTGGTAAGGCCACACTTGGAATATTGCATCCAGTTTTGGTCACCACGATGTAAAAAAGATGCTGAGACTCTAGAAAGAGTTCAGAGAAGAGCAACAAAGATGATTAGGGGACTGGAGGCTAAAACATATAAGGAACGGTTGCTAGAATTGGGTATGTCTAGTTTAATGAAGAGAAGGACAAGGGGGGACATGATAGCAGTCTTCCAATATCTCATGGGCTGCCCCCAAAGAAGAGGGAGTCAAGCTATTCTCCAAGGCGCCTGAAGGCAGGACAAGAAGCAAAGGATGGAAACTAACCAAGGAGTGAAGTAACCTAGAACTAAGGAGAAACTTCCTGACAGAAAACAGTTGGAACAACCTGCCTCCAAAAGTTGTGGAAGCTCCAACACTGGAAGTTTTTAAGAAGAGACTGGACAGCCATTTGTCTGAAATGGGTTTCCTGCCTGAACAGGGGGTTGGACTAGATGACCTCCAAGGTCCCTTCCAACTCTGCTACTCTGTTCTGTTCAATAAATCAAAGTCATCCATACCACCCAACCTTGAAAGATCTACACAAAGTTATTTTCCTATTGGGCAACTCTGGCAAACTCTCAATGCCCAGAAGATGCAGATTATTCTCTGAAGACAAGAGAAGGTTACAAAATAGTGCGGAGAAGTATGAGCAGAGAGATCACTTAACATGTCCATTCTTGGTGCATTCAATCAATGTCATCAAATGGATTCTCCTGATATCCAGCTGAGAGCTTTGTTTTGTTAGGAGACAAACACTGGAGTTGGCTCCTGTGTCAGAAATGGCACCGTTCCTCGTTTTCTGAAAATAACTCTCATCCTTATTTCGTCTTTGAGGGTTTCTCAAGTGATTTGAGAGTTTCCTAAGTGGAGATCAATCTTCCGGCCGAGGACTACACGTGGTCTGGCCTAACGAACAAGGGACTGTGTTTCTAATTCTGGGTGGACTGGAACACAATCACAATTGGATTATCTGTAAATTTGAAATTAGAAGGGATGCTGAGGCGTTAAATTAGTTCCTTTACACCAATTTAAATCAATATATTTCCGTTCTGCATATCTAATTGCTTTCTTCGGCTACTGTCTTTGAATGTTGTAATTCAGTCGTATGACACTGAAGGATGGGAGAAGACCTAAATAACTAGGAAGGACATATATTACATTCCAACTGCCCATAATTATTTATAAGTAGTCCTCGGCTTATGGCCACAATTGAGCCCAAAATTTCCATCACTAAGCGAGACAGCTGTTGAGTGAGTTTTGCCCCATTTTATGACCGTTCTTGCCACTGTTGTTAAATGAGTCCCTGCAGTTGTTAAACTAGTCACACGGTTGTGAAGTGAATCTGGCTTCCCCATTGAGTTTGCTTGCGAGGAGGTCACAAAAGGGGATCACATGATCCCGGAACACTGCAACCGTCATAAATACGAGTCAGTTGCCAAGCATTTGAATTTTGATCATCAGACCATGGGGATGCTGCAACAGTCATAAGTGTGAAAAATGGTCATAAGTCGTTTTATTCAATGTTCTTGCAACTTCGAACATTCATTAATGAATGGCTGTAGATCAAGGTCTAGCTGTAGCTAGACCTCCCATGATTCTTTGCACCCCAGTAAGAGATGGAATCTTAGAAAGTGTGCAGAGAAGAGCAACGAAGATAATATGGAGGGAGGTTAAAATTGTAGGATGAACTGTTGATGGACCTAGATATGTCCAGCCAGGTAAGGCAATCTTGGCTCTTTTATGACTCGTGGACTTCAACTCCCAGAATTCCTCAGCCAGCATGGCTCAGCTTGGAAACCTCTCCCTTTCCCCTCAGCATGGCTGGCTCAGGAATTCTGGGAGTTGAAGTCCACGAGTCATAAAGGAGCCAAGGTGGCCTACCCCTGGTCTAGGCCTAAGCCACTTTATGACTCGTGGACTTCAACTCCCAGAATTCCTGAGCCAGCCATGCTGAGGGGAAAGGGAAAGGTATCCAAGCTGAGCCATGCTGGCTCTGGAATTCTGGGAGTTGAAGTCCATGAGTCATAAAAGAGACAAGGTTGCTAGCCCATTGGAGAGAAGCACAAGGGGGGACATGACAGCAGTCTTCCAATATTTGAGGGGGCTGCCCCAAAGAAGAGGGAGTCAAGGTATTTTCCAAAGCGCCTGAAGACAGAACAAGAAGCAATGGGTGGGAACTAACAAAGGAGAGAAGCAACCTGGAACTAAGGAGAAACTTCCTGACAGTTAGAACAATTAAGCAGTGGAACAACCTGCCTCTAGAAGCTGTGAATGCTCCAACACTGGAAGTCTTTAAGAAGAGACTGGACAACCATTTGACCGGGATGATATAAGGTCTCCCACAACAGAACAGAACAAAACAGAACAGAACAGAACAAATTAGAATAGCATAGTTGGAAGAGACCTTAGAGGTGTTCTAGTCCAGACATGTCAAACACAAGGCCTGGGGGCTGGATGCAGCCCACAAAGTGGTTTCATGTGGCCCCCAAAGCCATCCTGGAAACAGTGAGGGAACAGCCCCCTCTATCTTGGCCCTGGCCCAGGCCGGCTGGGAGCCAATGTACAATTTTGTGGTGGCCCTCTATGCTGAAACGTATTCAGTCTTAGCTCCACAAGGCCGTCTAGAAACAGCGAGGAACCAGCCCCTGCTATGTCGGCCCCACCCCTGGGTGCATGCTGGGGAGGTGTCACCCTTTGTGAGGAATGACAAAATGGACCATGCCTTGGTGCTTGCCTTGGTCCCCCCCCCCTTCTGCCAGAGACCCTCAGATCTGTCCCACTCCTGCCCAGGCCCCCACAGGCCCCCTTAACATGAATGATGTAGAGCTGGCCACGCCCACCCATCAGGCCACGCCCATTACATCCACGCCCACCCAGTAGGCCGCACCCACCCTGGCCGCACCCACCCGGCCCCCCGAGGGCAACCACAATGCTGATGCGGCCCTCAATGAAATTGAGTTCTACTCAGGCAGAAAACCTTATATTATCCCGGTCAAATGGCTGTCCAGTCTCTTCTTAAATACTTCCAGTGTTGGAGCATTCAAAATGTCTGGAGGCAGGTTATTCCATGAGCAGGAGGTTGGACTAGAGGACCTCCAAGGTCCGTTCTAGCCCTAGGATTCTACGTTCTCTGTTCTTTTCATCCCATACCGTGGAGTAGGTGCAGTAATCGCTGCCTTCACTCTCGAGGAGAACCACATCCTTGATGAAGATGGAAATGGCCTTCAAGATGAAGGTGATGAAAAGGTGGACATGGATGTAGTTCCTGGGGCAACGGAGTCTCCTGCAGGGAGAGAGAGCAGACACAAGGTTAGTGGGGGACAATAGACCAATCATCAGGAGACAAGGAGTACTGGTCCTGCCTTAGACACAAAAGCCGGCTGAGTGGCTTTAGACCAATCACCAGGAGATTGTGAGTTCTAGTCTCACTTTAGGCATGAAAGCCAGCTGGGTGACTTTGGGACAATCACCAGGAGACAGGGAGTTCTAGTCCCGACGAGACAATGAGTTCTAGTGCCGCTTTATGTATGAAAGCCAGCTGAGTGACTTTGGGACAATCACCAGGCGATGGAGTTCTAGTCCCGCCTTAGGCATAAAAGCCAGCTGGGTGACTTTGGGCCAATCAAGACGAGACAATGAGTTCTAGTCCGCCTTATGCATGAAAGCCAGCTGGGTGACTTTGGGCCAATCACCAGGAGACGGGGAGTTCTAGTCCCGCCTTAGGCATAAAAGCCAGTTGGGTGACTTTGGGCCAATCAAGAGGAGACAATGATGGATCCGTAGCTGGCTGACCGGCCGTACTCAGCGAGTGGTCCTCAATGGAACTGCATCTATATGGAGGGAAGTGTGTAGTGGGGTGCCCCAGGGCTCTGTTCTGGGCCCAGTACTCTTCAACATCTTCATCAACGATTTGGATGAAGGGATAGATGGGGAACTCATCAAATTTGCAGATGACACCAAGCTGGCAGGAATAGCCAACACTCCAGAAGACAGGCTTCAGGTACAGAAGGATCTGGACAGACTTGAACACTGGGCACTAACTAACAAAATGAAATTCAATGGTGAAAAAAGCAAGGTTCTACATTTAGGCAAGAAAAACCAAATGCACAAGTACAGCATAGGTGGCACCATGCTCAATAGTAGTAACTGTGAGAGGGACCTCGGAGTCCTAGTAGACAATCAGTTAAATATGAGCCAGCAGTGTGCGGCAGCTGCCAAAAAGGCCAACACAGTACTAGGCTGCATTAACAGAGGGATAGAATCAAGATCACGCGAAGTATTAATACCACTCTTCAATGCCTTGGTAAGGCCACACTTGGAATACTGCATCCAGTTTTGGTCACCACGATGTAAAAAAGATGTTGAGACTCTAGAAAGAGTACAGAGAAGAGCAACAAAGATGATTAGGGGACTGGAGGCTAAAACATATAAGGAACGGTTGCGAGAATTGGGTATGTCTAGTTTAACGAAGAGAAGGACAAGGGGGGACAGGATAGCAGTATTCCAATATCTCAGGGGCTGCCCCAAAGAAGAGGGAGTCAAGCTATTTTCCAAAGCGCCTGAAGGCAGGACAAGAAGCAACGGGTGGAAACTAATCAAGGAGAGAAGCAACCTAGAACTAAGGAGAAACTTCATGACAGTGAGAACAATTAATCAGTGGAACAGCTTGCCTCCAGAAGCAGTAAATGCTCCAACACTGGAAGTTTTTAAGAAGAGACTGGACAGCCATTTGTCCGAAATGGTGTAGGGTTTCCTGCCCGAGCAGGGGGTTGGACTAGATGACCTCCAAGGTCCCTTCCAACTTTACTATTATTATTATTATTATTATTATTATTATTATTATTATTATTATTATTAATGAGTTCTAGTCCCGCTTTACATATGAAAACCAGCTGGGTGACTTTAGGCCAGTCATTCTCTTTCCACACAGCCCACCTCACAGGGTTATGGTTCTGGGGAAAATAGGAGAAGGAAAGCGTATAACTATGTTCACGGCCTTGACTTATTTGTAAAATGAATAAAGGCTGGGGGAAAAATATAATAATAATAATAATAATAACAACGAGTGGGATGAAAATGTTGTTCTATTTCCCAGGCTCCTGTAGACCAGTGTTTCCCAAACTTGACAATTTTAAGGCATGTGGACTTCAACTCCCAGAATTCCACAGCCAGCACTGGCTGTGGAATTCTGGGAGTTGAAGTCCTCATGCCTTAAAATTGTCAAGTTTGGGAAACACTGCTGTAGACCTACCTGAATGCAAGAAGAATCAGGATTGCGACGGCAAGCGAGATAGTTGAGATGCTGTAACCCACGGTGTAGATGGTCTGGATGGTTGAAAAGAAGGAAAGCTGGAATGAAAAGCAAATCAACCCTTCAGCTGAGCTTTTGGAACAGGTCCCGGATTCTACTCTACAACGATCCAGGAATATTCTTTAAATCCCTCCCTTGCCTCTTTCATGACTTGGCCTACCTCAAAGGGCTGTCCCAATCTCCCTGCCTCTCCTAGGCCAAATAAAATCAAGACAGGGTTGTGCTGAATTTCTTTTTCACAACTTTATCTTTCTCCAGGCTGTGTGTGTGTCCTCCAAACCTCTTCTTCTTCTTTTTTTTTTTTTAATTTTTAATTTTCAATTTTATATTACATTCATAAAAAATACTTCAGATAAAGAGTAAAATAAATTTATACACACCACTTTCGGTATTGCTCACCCATTTCCCCCCAAACCGCATCCACCCTCTTTCCCTCTTCTCTCACTTCCTTCTTTCCCTCTTCTTCCTCACTCTCCCCCTCTCCTCCTTCTCCTCAACCTTCCTACTTGCTTCTCCCCTGCCTCCTATCTTCTCACTCCGGATACGGTCCAGGGGAAATGCCCGAGCAATTCCTCTCTAAAACATCAATATTATATACAATAAAACTATTTCTACTTATCTGAGCTATTTAACCTTCAACCCATCCTCCCCCCACCCCACTCCCCCTGCCCCCTTCCCCCCCCCACTTCCCAGAGCCAAGTACAGGGTTATACAAACCTATTAAACATAATCTATTTAGGTTTACTAATTATACAATAACCAAAATCATACTAACCCTTAACTCTCTTCAAACTTTAACATCATAATTTTATAAACAAATCCATTACTCATAAAATAAGTGAAGCTTTGTAGTTCCATACTTCTTCTGAACCTTTTCTATCCATCTTCTCCATACAATAACATATCTCTCTTGTGAATGGTCCTTTAAATAAGCAGAAATTTTAGCCATTTCTGCTAAATTAGGAACCTTAAGTACCCATTCTTCTAAAGAAGGCAGAGAGTCTTTCTTCCAATATTGACCCACCAATAATCTTGCTGCTGTTATTAAATTCAACATTAAAATAGTTTCTTTAGCATCAAAATCCCTCCAAACCTCTTCTTAACACCTCATCCAGGCCTTCCTAATTGCTCAAGGTTAGTTCTATTTTCTTTAAACTGGTGGGATGAGAGCCAGAGAGAAAGCAAGCTAGCCAGAAGACGGCCACACCATAAAGGACAGGATAATCTAGGAGTCCCAACCCCTGGGCCGTGGTTTGGTATCAGGCCATGCAAGCAATGGGTGAATGCTTGCAGCTCTTTTTTTGTGAGCGACGGGTGCACGCACCTGACCCTTACATAAATGGAGCTGCTTGTGTGAGCTGGGGTGCACAACATCCCCTCTAACCCCCCCCCCACTGGTCTGCAAAGCCAAAAGGGTTGAAGACCCCTGGGATAATCCCATAGTTTTTACATCTGTATCTCCCATGACTCTCCCTTTGAAGTGTGGGAAGAATCCAGAGACATAAATATTTTGGGAAATATTAAAAAGGCCGAATATATATTCCCCAAAGGATTTTAAAGGCAGAAACCAACCCCTCACACATACACACAAGTCTCTCTGCCCTAAACAGGAACCAGGTCCGCAGAAATGCAGATGTGATAATCTTGTCAGAAAGATCGGAGCCAGGAAGCTGGGATTGGAAAGAAAGATCCCTAGAATCTACAATCCCTCACACCAAAAAAACCCAACACTCACCAGCCATAGACCCAGGGAAGCAGGCTGTGATCTTTGGAACATAATAGGATTAACCCACCACCATCAGAATACCAGAAAGGCACACTCCGACTCAGGTCAAAGTTCATGCCACAGGAACAACTCCAAACAAAAGCTCAAGAAGGTATAAAATGGGTTTTTTTTTTTCAGAGCATCTTTCTGTCTGGCTCTCCTCTCCAATAAACTGCAACCTTCTTTCTAAAGCAGTCTCCATTTTGTTTATTCCCAGCTTGGACTGGATTCTGATGAAGATTTTTCCTTCAACAGAAGTTACACACAGCATGAGTGTTAAAGCCCCACATGGCATGAGTGTTAAAGCTCTTTCACACCTGGAGTCACAATGACAAACAAATTTGGAAACCAAGTGGTGCTAATCCATAAGGTCACGAAATGGGCATGGAAAGAAATTCAGATTGGTTGTTTCCTGCTGCAGAATCATATCAGTGCTATCCTCAGTTTTAGTTAGCTGAAGCACAGAGATACCAAGTAAACTTCGTTTTGTGTGGGGTCCTTGGCGCTCTCTGAGCTTGATAGTTTTCTTGCAGATGTTTCATGACCCATCTAGGGAGTTTTATCAGTTCAAGGGAATGGAGTTTGTAGCAAGGAGGATTTTACCTAGTTGGATCATGAAACATCTGCAAGAAAACAACTAAGCTCAGAGAGCACCAAGTCGTCGTCATCCTCCTCCTCCTCTTCTTCTTCTTCTTCCCTTCTAGCACTAATAATGTCCCTTAGTTGTGTCATGAAACACCTTCAAGAAGATCACCAACTTCAGAGAGCATCAAAGACGCCACAGTCGTCATTGTCCTCCTCCTCCTCCTCCTCTTCTTCTTCTTCTTCTTCTTCTTCTTCTTCTTCTTCTTCTTCTTCTTCTTCTTCTTCTTCTTCTTCTTCTTCTTCTTCTTCTTCTTTTCTTCTTCTTCTTCTTCTTCTTCTTCTTCTTCTTCTTCTTCTTCTTCTTCTTCTTCTTCTTCTTCTTCTTCTTCTTCTTCTTCTTCTTCTTCTTCTTCTTCTTCTTCTTCTTCTTCTTCTTCTTCTTCTTCTTCTCCTTCTCTTCCTCCTCCTCCTCCTCCTCCTCCTCTCTGCCAACCCCCCTCCCTTCTTCCACTGATGATGTTATCTAATTGGGTCATGAAACATCTACAGGCAAACAACCAAGCTCAGACAGCACCAACAGACTGCACACTTCCATCCTGAGCTATACGTATCCCCTGCTCTTAGTGGCCAGTATGCAGATGTTGTTTATCTCAGTTTACCCTTATCTCATGATAGCCTACTTTGTTGGTCCCCCTCTTCAGTCTATTAATAGCTTGAAGGTGGGGGCACTACAATTTATACTAGCGTCACCCAATTCATGAGCTAAGGACGTGGAAAAAATGAGCATTGAGATGGTTGCCTGGTTGTGCCCAATGATTAAAGGAAGGCAGGGCCAATTTGTGGCCTGTGGAGAGACTCTTCACTCAAACCTCCCTCAAGGTCAAGCACCACTCAGAAGATTGCAAAGTCCCACTGTTCACTGTTGAAAAGCGAGGATGGACAACGGGGGTTAATGCCGCGTCTCTCTCCCACTTATCATGAAATAAATACGAGTCGGTCACCCCACAGAGGGTGATGCTCTGTTCGCATTTGAAATTCTATTTTGCTATTATGAATTGAGAACTTCACCAGCATCCTGTCTCCTCTGAAAAAGATGCCACTTATTTTTACCCAGTCTGAAAGAAAAGGAAAAACAAAAAACAAAAGGCAGCAGAATGTCTCCGCTCGACACTAAAATACAGGTAGTCCTTGACTTAGGACCACAACGGAGCCCCAGATTTTTGCTGCTAAGCGAGGCAGCTGTTAAGAGAGTCATGGCCCCGTTTCATAACATTTTTGCCTCTGTTGTTGGCGGTCATTAAATGAGTCTGCCTTCCTTCATTGATTTTGCATGCGACAAGCCAGCTGGGAAAGTTACAAAGGATGATCAATGATGCTCAACTTACAACCACAACAGAGCCCCAAATTTTTGTTGCTCAATGAGACACCGCTTAAGTGAGCCTTGCCCCATTTTATGACCTTCCTTGCCACAGTTGTTAAGTGAATCCCTTCAGTTGCGAATTACTGGCACAGTTGTTAAGTGAATCCGGCTTTCCCATTGATTTTGCTTGTCAGAAGCTCGCAAAAGGCGATCAAGTGACCCCAGGACATGGCGACCATCATAAATAGGAGTCAGTTGCCCTGAATTTTGATTATGTGACCATAAGGGCGTTGCAATAGTCGTTAAGTGTGAAAACCAGTCATAAGTCACTATTTTCACTGCTATTGTAACTTTGAATGGTTGCTAACCCTGTGTAAGTTTGTAAGTCAGGACCATCTGTAAATTGCAGAGGAGAATACGGGGGGGGGGGGAATTCACCATGATTCACATTTATGCTTTAATTATTTAGGATTAGGTTGATTTAGGATTAGATAGAAAGATATAGAGATATAGATAGATGATGGAGGCAGAGATAGATACAGATATAGATATAGATAGATATATGGGGAGAGAGAGAGAGAGGGAGGGAGGGAGGGAGGGAGGGAGTGTTTCCCCAAAAATACCTATTCTGAAAATAAGACCTAGCTTTGTTTTTACATGTGCACCTAATATAAGCCCTACTCCCAAAAGTTAAGACCCCGCCCACTCTGTCCCACCATCTGGTTGCATGAAGTGAGACATGATATAATAATAATAATCAATAATAATAATAATAATAATAATAATAATAATAATAATAAAAATAGAGTGGGGGGAGGTGGAGCTGCCCTACGCGACCCACACCTACTTACCTCAGGACCGCCACAGCCAGGTCTCCCATGTGCCAGCTGCCTCACCTCACAGTGGCGGCACCAACCCCTGTCAAGCAGGAACCCACATGACCACCACTGGCCCACTTTTTTTGCAGCCAGTGAAGGCCTCTGCTGGAGAAATGGAGGCCGGGGCTGACGTGCACAAGCAGAGGGAAGTGGCTGCAGAAGTGGGCTGGCCACGGCCACAGGGCTCCTGTTAGATGGGGCTGTTGGTGTTGCTGCCATGAGGTGAGACAGTGGAAAAACTAAGACATGCCATGAAAATAAAACCTAAAGCCCCTTTTGGAGGCAAAAAAAATATCAGACCAGGTCCTAATTTCAGGGAAACATGGTAGGTAGGTAGGTAGGTAGGTAGGTAGGTAGATAGATAGATAGATAGATAGATAGATAGATAGATAGATAGATAGATAGACAGACAGAAATAGATAGATAGATAGATAGATAGATAGATAGATAGATAGATAGATAGATAGATAGATAGACAGAAATAGATAGATAGATAGATAGATAGATAGATAGATAGATAGATAGATAGATAGATAGATGGATGGATGGATGGATGGATGGATGGATGGATGGATGGATGGATGGATGGATAGATAGATAGATAGATAGATAGATAGATAGATAGATAGATAGATAGACGGATGGACGGACAGACGGAAGGAAGGAAGGAAGGAAGGAAGGAAGGAAGGAAGGAAGGAAGGAAGGAAGGAAGGAAGGAAGGATGGGTGGGTGGATGGGTAGGTAGGTAGATAGATAGATAGATAGATAGATAGATAGATAGATAGATAGATAGATAGATAGATAGATAGATAGATACAGAAATAGATAGATAGATAGATGGATGGATGGATGGATGGATAGATAGATAGATAGATAGATAGATAGATAGATAGATAGATAGATAGACGGATGGACGGACGGACAGACGGAAGGAAGGAAGGAAGGGAGGGAGGGTGGGTGGGTAGGTAGGTAGGTAGGTAGATAGATAGATAGATAGATAGATAGATAGATACACAGACAGACAGATAGACAGACAGAAGGATAGAAGGATGGATGGATGGATGGATGGATGGATGAATGGATGGATGGATGATGGATGGATGGATAGATAGATAGATAGATAGATAGAGAGAGAGAGAGACAGATGATAGGATAGAGATAGATAGATAGATAGATAGATAGATAGATAGATAGATAGATATGGATGGATGGATGGATAGACAAACAGATAGATAGAGAGATAGGTAGGTGGGTAAATATGTAGAGAGATAGCTAGGTAGGTAGGGAGGGAGGGGGGGAGAGAGAGAGAGATGGTAGATAGACAGATAGGTAGATAGAAATAGATGGGGGGGGTGAGAGAGAGAGAAAGAGGGAAAGAGAGAGATGAGTAGATGGATGGTAGAAAGACAGAGACCACATTCATGAAGCAGAATTCCTGGTTGTTTCTCTTATAGTTTAGCCTATTAAGAGGTATCAAACTTTCCCCCTATGCCTGTGGAGTATCTGTCTTTATCCCCCACCCCCCCAAACTCACTTCATCCAGAGAGACATCATCTTCCATTGAACATGCTACTGAATAAGGTGGAATCGGATCAGACCAGCCTTGATCTGTGCAACTTCGTTTCACCACACCTAGGAAAAATTAAAATCAGCAAAATTAGATTGAGCTGGACTGATCCAAGTGATGGGGCCCCAGGGTCAACAACTCAGGGTGTTAGCCCTTTGAGGTAGTCCAGACAAGGACCAGGACCAGGAGTATCTTAATTGTAAGCATACAGGTAGTCCTCGAGTTACAATAGTTCACTTAGTGACCATTTGAATTCACAACGGCACTGAAAGAAATGACATAACCATTTTTCACATTTACGACCTTTATAGCATCCCCATGGTCACGTGATCAAAATTTGGATGTTTGGCAACTGGTTCATATTTATGACGGTCGCAGTGTCCCGGGGGTCACGTGATCTGCTTTTTCTGACAAGCAAAGTCCATTGGGGAGCCCGATTCACTTAACAACCACGTTACTAATGTAACCACTGCAGTAATTCACTTAAGAACTGTGGCAAGAAAGATGGTAAAACCAGGCAAAATTGATTTAACTGTCTCACTTAGCAACAGAAATGGTGGTCATATGTTGAGGACTAACTGTATTCAACGAATTTAGCAAGGCTGAGATTATTTCTCCCTTCCTCCCCTTCTACTTCCCAGAAAACCAGGAAAAGGGTCTCAGCATCCTTTTTACATCGTGGTGACCAAAACTGGATGCAGGATTCCAAGTGTGGCCTTATAAAGGCATTGTAAAGTGGTATTAACATTTCACGTGATCTTGATTCTATCCCTCTGTTAATGCAGCCTAGCACTGAGTTGGCCTTTTTGGCAGCTGCAGCACACTGCTGGCTCATATTTAGGTGATTGTCCACTAGGACTCCGAGGTCCCTCTCACAGTTACTACTATTGAGCAAGGTACCCCCTATACTATACCTGTACATTTGGGTTTTCTTGCCTAAATGTAGAACCTTACTTTTTTCACCACTGAATTTCATTTTGTTAGGTAGCGCCCAGTGTTCAAGTCTGTCCAGATCCTCCTGTATCCTAAGCCTGTTTTCTGGAGTATTGGCTATTCCTGCCAATTTGGTGTCATTTGTGAATTTGATGAGTTCCCCATCTATCCCTTCATCCAGATCGTTGATGAAGATATTGAAGAGCACTGGGCCTAGAACAGAGCCCTGGGGCATCCGCCTACACACTTCCCTCCCTGTTGATGCAATTCCCTTGAGGACAACACACTTTCATTGTGATTTAAATTTAAATATCAAACCTGTCCCCCTAAATTTTTACTATGGTCTCCTAGAGCCTCTCACTATTGTTTTATAATAATTTGGAATCAAAGAGATACTTAATAACCTGGGAATGACTCTGTTATTTTAATTTCTCAACTTGGCAGCCCAAGGCCAGGAAATTTATTTATTAGGTTTCTTTCTAAGTACCCAGTGTCACTTCAAGGCAAGAAGGGTGCCAAATAAGTCTATTAAATTAATATATAAAGGATGCTCATTAAATCCCAGTGTGCATAATTGGCAGAATTACACCATTCGTGTAAATGTCTGCCACTGGGATCAATTTATTTATCTGAGTAATTACGTAATCGATGTCATTTGTTGAAATTCACGTCACTTGCCCAGTGCAAATGACATAAGTGATGCAAATTTACCCAAACAATCTAATTATGTCAATTTTGGCAAGTGACGACAATTATATTAATTGACCCACTTTAGAAAGAAGAGGTGGTATCTTTTATGGGGTAATTAAGATCAAATCACAAATGTATCTCTTAAAACCAAAATCCTATTCCACTGGGGTAAAAATCAAGATTTTAGTCTAATCGTATCAAGTTTAAATATATATTTAAATATATTACAGAGAAGAGCAACAAAGATGATTAGGGGACTGGAGGCTAAAACATATAAGGAACGGTTGCAGGAATTGGGTATGTCTCGTTTAACGAAGAGAAGGATGAGGGGGGACATGATAGCAGTATTCCAATATCTCAGGGGCTGCCCCAAAGAAGAGGGAGTCAAGCTATTCCCCAAAGCACCTGAAGGCAGGACAAGAAGCAATGGATGGAAACTAATCAAGGAGAGAAGCAACCTGGAATTAAGGAGAAATTTCCTAACAGTGAGAACAATTAACCAGTAGAACAACCTGCCTCCAGAAGTGGTGAATGCTCCAACACTGGAAGTTTTTAAGAAGAAACTGGACAGCCATTTGTCTGAAATAGTATAGGGTTTCCTGCCTGAGCAGGGGGTTGGACTAGAAGATCTCCAAGGTGCCTTTCAACTTTATTATTATTATGGATCGTTGCACAGTCAGCCAGATGTTCAGACTGGATTTGGCATTTTGTCTACCTATCGAGTCCTTACCCAGGACCTGGGATAGGCAGATGTGGGTCTTTGATAGTATTACAGATATCGTCGCAGGATGGAAGCAGTTCCTAGTAAGGCTGCCTTATTATTATTATTATTATTATATTATTATTATTATTATTATTATATTATTATTATCGATCATCGCACAGTCAGCCAGATGTTCAGATGGATTGGCATTTTGTCTACCTATCGAGTCCTTACCCAGGACCTGGGATAGGCAGATGTGGATGTTTGATGGTATTACAGGTATCGTCGCAGGATGGAAGCAGTTAGTAAGGCTGCCTTATTATTATTATTATATTATTATCGATCATCGCACAGTCAGCCAGATGTTCAGACTGGATTTGGCATTTTGTCTACCATCGAGTCCTTACCCAGGACCTGGGATAGGCAGATGTGGATGTTTGATGGTATTACAGATATCGTCGCAGGATGGAAGCAGTTCCTAATAAGGCCGCCTTTTGCAATTGACTAATAGCGAATTTGTCAATGCCAATGGTGTTCAAGTGGTGCTCCAGTTGTTTTGGGATTGCACCCAAGGAGCCTATGACTATTGGTACTACCCTTGCTTGCTTTTGCCACAGTCTTTCTATTTCTATTTGTAGGTCTTTGTATTTTGTTATCTTCTCCAGTTCTTTCTCGTCTATTCTGCTGTCTCCAGGCACTGCCACGTCCACTATCCAGACTTTTTTGTCTTTCTTATCGACAATTGTTAAGTCTGGGGTGTTATGTTGCAGGTGCTTGTCTGTTTGAATTCTGAAGTCCCAGAGCAGTTTAATTTTATCATTTTCTATGACTTTCTCTATTTTATGATCCCACCAGTTTTTGCTTACAGGCAAATGATATTTTTTGCAGATCTTCCAATGCACCATTGTTGCTACTTTGTCATGCCGCTGCTTGTAATCAGTTTGTGCAATCTTCTTGCAACAGCTTACCAAGTGGTCCACTGTTTCTTCAGCTTCTTTGCATAGGCGGCACTTACTGTCTGTTGCTGTCTTCTCAATTTTGACTTTGTATGCATTTGTCCTTAAGGCTTGGTCTTGTGCAGCCAGAATTAGTCCCTCGGTCTCTTTCTTCAATTTTCCTGCTCTTAGCCATTGCCAGGTTTTATTATTATCTGCTTTCCCAGCTATTTTTTTCATGTATCGGCCATGTAGTGCTTTGTCTTCCCATGCCTCTATTCTGTTCTTCATTTGGTCTTTCTTGAAGGCCAGTTTGGTCTCTCCAGTAGTTAGTAAGCCTTCCTGATATACTAATTTCAGTGCATCTCATCATTGTTCTTCAGATATTCTTCCAAAGCCATTTTTTCTTCTTCAACCATCTGATGTACTTGTAGCATTCCACGCCACCTATTTGCCTTGGTAGATAAAGTCTATCAATGTCACTGCGTGGATGAAGGGCATGATTCATTGTCATTATTTTTCTGGTCTGCCTATCCATTGCTTTTAGTTCTGCTTGAGTCCAGTCCACTATTCCAGCTGTGTACCTAATGACTGGGATTGCCCAGGTGTTGATTGCCTTTATGGTATTTCCTCCATTGAGTTTGGATTTAAGATCTTCTTCACTCTCTTGATGTATTCACCTCTAATCTTTTTCTTGACTTCAGTGTGCTTGATGTTGTCAGCTTGAAGGATACCCAAGTATTTGTAGTACTCTTCCTCATCCAGACTCTTAATGTTATTTTCGTGGGGCATCTTGATTCCTTCAGTTTTCATTATTTTTCCTTGTTTGATAGTAAGTGTGGCACATTTGTCCAAGCCAAACTCCATTACAATATCTTGGCTATATATACGGACAGTGTTGAGCAGCGATTCTATTTCAGATGATGTTTTTCCATACAGCTTCAGATCATCCATATAAAGGAGGTGGGATAGTCTGGCAGATGTTTTTGATGTTTGATAGCCATGTCCTGAGTTATTCAGTATTGTTGACAGAGGAAACAGTGCAATAACAAATAGTAATGGTGATAATGAATCTCCTTGAAATATTCCTCTCTTGATATTAACCTCTCCCAGCCTCTCACCATTGATCTGCAACTGTGTCTTCCATTGTGCCATCGATCTTTGCACAATTTTTCTGATGTTTCTACTGACTCCTGTTATTTCTAGGCACTTTATTATCCAGTCATGTGGCAGAGAGTCAAATGCCTTTTTGTAGTCAATCCATGCCACATTCAGGTTGGTCTTCCTTCTCTTGCAGTTTTCCAAGATCATTTTGTCTATTAGGAGTTGATCTTTTGTTCCTCTGCTGTTGGGGCGGTTTCCTTTCTGATCAGGTGAAAGAGATTGTTTTCAACTAGATGCTGTTGTTGCACTGCATCAGCTACTACACCAGTAGTAATTGAAAGTTGTTGGTAAGCAGGTAATTGGCCTGTAGTTACCTGTGTTGCCCCTTTTGCTGGATTTTTCATTATTAGGTAGGTTTTCCCAGTTGTTAGCCACTTTTCAATTTCTCCTCCTTGTAGTATATTGTTGAACTGTTTGGCAATGAGTGGGTGTATAACAGTTAGATGTTTCAACCAAAACCCATGCAGTTCATCTTCACCTGGTGCTGACCAATTTTTGATTTTCCTTGCTCTTTTTTCTACCATTTTTGTTGTTATTACTAGTTCTTTCATTTCAACTTCTGTTTTATTTGCATCCACCTCTTTTAACCAAGCCGCATCCTTGTTGTATTTCTTTGGGTTATCCCATATCTGCTTCCAGAACTGCACTGTTTCTTCCTTGTCAGGTACTGACTGATTCCTTGCAGTTTCTCCATTGATGGATTGGTAGAAACGTTTCTGATCGGATTGAAATTGGAGGTTCTGCCTGTAGTTTGCAATTCGAGCTTCATATCTACTGATTTTCCTGGCTATAGCTGTTATTTGTTGCTTTATTATTTCCAGTGCTTCCTTGATCTTCCTTGTTTCTAAGTGGTATTTCTTGATTAGGTATTCTTTGGTCTTCTTGTTCTTCAGCTTCTTTTCTTTCATCTGTTCTAGCTTGCTTGCATGTGATCTTTAAACTTGCTGATCTTATTTTCTAGTCTAACCTTCCATTTTTCTGGTGCACTGTTTGTTTGTTTTTCTTCTTTGTTGATTTTGCATCCCAGGTATTCTGTTATAACTGCAGCTGTGCTGTACATTAGTTGGTTTGTTTCTTGCAGTGAATTGGTGCTTATACTTGATATTGCAGTATTTGCATCTTTTAATGCTTGTGCTAGCTGTTTCTTTGGAACAAGCTTCAATGCAGGAGCCTTATTCTGTTGTTTTTGTGCTGTTAGATGCTCAGTTATTCTTTGTTTCAATTCTTTTATTTCTTTAGTTAGAGGGTTTTGTTCCTTCCGAGGTAGAGGCCTGGTTTCCAAATGAGAAAACAGTTGTATATCTCTGCTAGATTCCTTCACTGCCAACTCCCCCTGGTTTGCCTCTACATTCTGAATTACTTCTGGTAAGGCTTTGATTTCTTTGCCCTGGGTAAACCTTTGCAGTTCGTCCAATTCTGTTTCTGTGAATATTTATTTCGTGTTATAAATCGGCGTTGATCTGCTAGTCTCTGTTCTGTTATTTCTGATTCTGATGTTGTTCTTTCCAGAACTGGTGCATTCGTTTTAGATATCCTCTTCTTGTTGGACTTGATCTGTAGTAACAGATCATTATTTCTTTGTTTTCCATCACTGTGTATCTGCGACGGGTAAACACCTTTTCTTCCAGTAGTTCTGCAGCTGCTGGCAACCGGGCGACGTCCGAGCCGGTATGGCATTCTGAAATTTACGTCTCACCATATTTTTTATGGGAGAGACACTCTTTGTCTGACTCCTCTGATGAGACCTGTCCAGTATGGTTGAACCTCTGGCATAGCTCTCATCTTCCTCAGAGTACACAAGCCCCACAACCACGTCAAGGTAGTGCCTCACTGGGGGCACTTATTATTATTATTATTATTATTATTATTATTATTATTATTATTATTATTATTACTATATAAAGAACAAAATTTAATGTTTATCTTTGCCGGATCTTTTTGGAGTGTCACAGGCACATATACACCCCTAGTGTCACACTATGGCTTATTGTGAAGTGTGAACCTAATCATAGGTAGTGTTCGACTTCCAACCAGTCATTTAATGATCATTCAAAGTTACAACAGCACTGAAAAAAGTGACTTATGACCATTTTTCACACTTACGACCATTGCAGCATTCCCATGGTCACGTGATTTGCATCTGGATGCTTGATAACTAGTTCATATTTATGACGGCTGCAGTGGCCCGGGATCACATGATCCCCCTTTGCGACCTTCTGACAGGCAAAGTCAAGGGGGGATTTGCTTAATGACCATTTAATTCACTTAAGAACTGCAGTGGATCACTTAACAACAGTAGCAAAAAGGAGGTTGCAAATTCAGCCAGAACTTACTTTACAACAGCCTTGCATAGCAAATTATGGTGAGTTGGGGGTCATAAGTAAAGGACTACCTGTAATCACAACTGATTCAATAAAAAGTGTGAAAACCAAACCAAGAAGCATATACAGGTAGTCCTTGACTAACAACCATTCGATTAGTGACCGTTTGAAGTTACGACAGCACTGGAAAAAGTGACTTATGACTGTTTTCACACTTACAACCATTGCAGCATCCCAGTGGCCACGTGATCAAAATGTGGATGCTTGGCATGTATTATGACGATCGCAGCGTCCCAGGATCACGTGATCCCCTTTTTCAACCTTCTGTCAAGCAAAGTCAATGGGAGAGGCAGATTCACTTAACAACCGTGGTAAGAAAGTTTGTAAAACGGGGCAAAACTCACTTAACAACTATCTTGGTTAGCCACAGAAATATTGGGCTCAGTTGTGCTTGTAAGTCAAGGACCACGTGTACCTTAGCAATACTAAGGAAACAAATGCCAAAGACTAAAATAGAAACACAGGGGTTTGGACCAATGAATCTAAAGAAGGAAGGAAGGAAGGAAGGAAGGAAGGAAGGAAGGAAGGAAGGAAGGAAGGAAGGAAGGAAGGAAGGAAGGAAGGAAGGAGGAATGGAGGGAGGGAGGAAGAAAGGAAGGAGGGAGTAATGGAGGGAGGGAGGGAGGAAGGGAGGGAGGAAGGAAAGGGAGCGAGGGAGGGAGAGAGGGAGGGAGAGGGAAAAAAAAAAAAAAAAAAAACCCCAAGGACAGGAAGGAAGGAAGGGAGGGAGAAGGGAGGAAGGGAGGGGGAGAGAGAGAGGAAGTACAGGAAGGAAGGACGGGAGGGAGGGTTAATTTCGAGGGAGGGAGGGAGGGAGGGCGGGGGAAGGGAAGAAGGAAGGAAAGGAGGGCGGGAGGGAGGGAGAGAGGAAGGAAGGAAGGGAGGGAGGGAAGGGGGGAGGAAGGAAGGAAAGGAGGGAGAGAGAGAGAGAGGAAGGAAGGAAGGAAGGAAGGAAGGAAGGAAGGAAGGAAGGAAGGAAGGAAGGAAAGAAGGAAGGGAGGGAGGGAGGAAGGGAGGAAGGGAGGGGGAGAGAGAGAGGAAGGAAGGAAGGAAGGACGGAGGGAGGGAGGAGGGCGGGAGGGAGGGCGGAGGAAGAAGGAAGGACAGGAGGAGGGAGAAGGAGGGAGGGAGAAAGGAAGAAAAGGAGAGAGAGAGAGAGAGAAAGAAAGGAAGGAAGGAGGAAGGAGAGGAAGGAGGAAGGAAGGAGAGGAAGGAAGGAAGGAAGGAAGGAGGGAGGGAGGGAGGGAGGGAGGGAGGGAGGAGGGAGGAAGGAAGGAAGGAAAGGAGGGAGGGAAGGAGGGAGGGAGAAAGGAAGGAAAGGAGAGAGAGAGAGAGAGGAAAGAAGGAAGGAAGGAAGGAAGGAAGGAAGGAAGGAAGGAAGGAAGGAAGGAAGGAAGGAAGGAAGGAAGGAAGGTGTTTCTCACCAACAAACTGGTTCCTCACCTGATTTCTTTGTGAAGTGGAAGATGATACCTGGACAGGTGAAGGAAAGTGTGTCTCCGGGATCTGCATCGGGCCAACACAGAAGCTGGTCCCATAATCTTTTACAACCTTGCAAATGGAAGAAAAGAATTTTTTTTAAAAAAAAAGCTCTCCATTATTCTCGGAAAGAGAAACCCAACAGCAGAGCCCAAAGTATATCAGCGCATTGAATGAACTTTAAGATTGCCCCTTAATGAGTGGAATGCACCCTTCAGGACTACGGGTAGAGTAGGTGTAGTAAACGAAATTTCTAATTGTATGCAGTAAAAAAATACAGCGGGTGGAGGATGAAAATATATGAAGCTGCCCTGGTCATCGGTGGAGACCATACTACGATGTTTCATGCTATGAATTTTGAGGTTGATGTTTGTTTTTTTAGGGGTTCTCAAGTTGTGAAAAGGTCTTCCTTCCTTCCTTCCTTCCTTCCTTCCTTCCTTCCTTCCTTCCTTCCTTCCTTCCTTCCTTCCTCTGACTATTTCTTTAAAAACAGGTATAAGACACACAGGGATTGATTGTCCACAATCTGATCCTAAAACATGGACAAGCCTTAGTAGATATAGTCTTAAACCTAATCCAAAGTCTCAACCCTAATCCTAAAATCCAAACTCTTTTCTAGTCCTGATAATGTTACCTAGTTGGGTCACAAAACATTTGCAAGGAAACTGCTCAGAAAAGATTAAGGACTCCACAATTCGCCGCCTCCTCCTCCTCCTCCTCCTCCTCCTCCTCCTCCTCCTCCTCCTCTTCCTCCTCCTCCTCCTCTCAGCAAACCCCACCCTCTTCTAGCCCTGATGATGTTACCTAGTTGGGTCATGCAACGTCTGCAAGCAAACAACCAAGCTCACAGGCACTGAGCATTCTTCTATTGACAATATATTCTCTACTGTCAATATAGCAGTGACGCTCAACATTGTAGACCTCCAGTGATTCTAACATGTTTACATCGCAAAATAAAATAGTGTAAGACAGTGATGGCGAACCTTTTAGAGACCGAGTCCCCCAAAACCACCCCGTCTCCCCACCTGTTGTTCCACCCCTGTCACTCCGGCTTGCCTGTTCCACCCCACCCCACCTGCTGGGCCACCCACTGCCTCCACGGCCCGCTGCAGATCTCTCAGGCAGCCCTGCAGTGCTATGGTGGACACACTCTCCATCCGCGCCCCACAGCATGATCTGCACGCAACAGGGCATGAGGGCGGAGTCTTGTCCCTGCTACCCAGCTGCCTTGTGCTTGGCTGTGCTGCTCCATGCCCAGGGGCGACTCTCCTCTGAGGGTGGCTGCTGATGAGGGAGTAGCAGGGCTGGGGCGATGGCGCACATGCCCACAGAGAGGGTTCTGAGTGCCGCCTCTGGCACGCATGCCATAGGTTCGCCACCACTGGCGTAAGAGAAACCGCCAATGCAGATTCCCTGCTTTTCCCATTTCCACCGTTCAAAGTTACAATGGCACTGAAAAAAGTGTTTTATGGCCGTTTTTCACACTTGCAACCATTGAGCATCCCCATGATCACGTGATCCAAATTTAGAAGCTTGGCAACTGGTTCATATTTATGACAGTTGCGGTGTCCCAGGGTCCTGTGATATCCTTTTGCGACCTTCTGTCAAGCAAAGTCTCAACATCCATCTCAAGAATCAAAAAAACCTTCAGGTTCATTTCATTTCCAAAAAGCTTGCTGTTTATTGAATACACAGCTTGGTTATGTCAAAGAAAAACTAACTCTGAGGTTCCAACACCAATTCACAGACTTAATAATTCTCCCAGCCAACCCCCCCCCCATCTTACATAATTCAGATCAATGGTTGTACCTGCGGTTTCGTTCACGTGCAGCTGAATCTCTTGTAAGCACTCGGTCTCATTCTGTTTCCACTCTGTGATGGGGACACAGTCGGGCTGAAGCATTCCAGCCACCTAGAAGTAAATGAACAGGATGAAAGGAAAAAAGCTGACATTCCTATCCTTATCCTAAAATTCAACGCAGGCAGGGGAAAGAATAAAAGCAATTTAAATCATCGCAGGTAGTCGTGCCTTGCGACCCAAACTTTTTGTTGCTAAGCGAGACAGTTATGAAGTGGATTTTGCCCCATTTGACGACCTTTCTTGCCATAGTTATTAATTGAATCACTGCCATTGTGAAGTTAGTAATATGGTTGTTAAGTGTAATCTGGCTTCCCCAATGACTTTGTGTCAGAGATGAAACTTTGACAGCTAGATGCCTCTGCGTTTCATCTTACCTTTAGATTAATGCAGTGGTTCTCAACCTTTTTAATGCCACAACCCCCAACCGGTCATAAGTCAAGGACTACTCAATTGGTCGTAAGTCGAGGACTACTCAACTGGTGCAGCACCGTTTGCAGAATGGGACTTTTGGCGGGCTCAGCAGGGCAGAGACAGCCTGGACAATTCCTATTGGCTTTTGAAAGCCAATAGAATTAGACTCTATTCAAGAGAGTCTATTCTATTGGCTTTCAAAAGCCAATAGAATAAAAGGGAGTAGCACAGCTAAGGAAAAGGGGGGGGGGGAAATGGCGGACTGCATTGTTTGGCGACCCCCGTGAAACGGTCTTTCGACCCCAAATGGGGTCCCGACTCGCAGGTGGAGAACCACTGGATTAATGGGAGGAGGGCAGGGAGTTACTTTCAAGTGGATTAAATGGAGAAACTAAAACTGGTTGATTCAGCTGCAGACTATGAGAGCTTGAAGCCTTGTCAAGGTCACCTAACAGGTGTGGATTTAAAGCAGATGGTTCCCATAACAAAGTGAGCTTGTTGATCTGAATTATGTAAGATGGGGGGGTTGGCTGGGAGAATTATTAAGTCTGTGAATTGGTGTTGGAACCTCAGAGTTAGTTTTTCTTTGACATAACCAAGCTGTGTATTCAATAAACAGCAAGCTTTTCGGAAATGAAATGAACCTGAAGGTTTTTTTGATTCTTGAGATGGATGTTGAGACTTTGCTTGGAAGAAGGTCGCAAAAGGATATCACAGGACTGCGGGACACCGCAACTGTCATAAATATGAACCAGTTGCTAAGCTTCTAAATTTGGATCACATGATCATGGGGATGCTCAATGGTTGTAAGTGTGAAAAACGACCATAAAACACTTTTTTCACTGCTGTTGTAACTTTGAACGGTCACTAAATGAACTATTGTAACTTGAGGACTACCTGTATACATTTTACCCATGAGCCCCTGGTCCAAGGATATTTTCTTTCTGCTGGAATATAAATTATCAAGAACTAGAGTGTATTTGAAATTTGAACAAGGGTGATTTGGAAAATTGGTGTAAGAAGAGAAATGATAAAATCTCTGTGGGTTTCTCCTAAAGAAAAAAATTATTCAGCAATCCTATCTGTAAACAATATTTAGACTTCAGCACTCAAAAAAAAAAAGAAAGAAAGAAAGAAACCCCCCAAAATCCAATTACAGGTAGTCCTCAAATTACAACCAAATGGTGACCAGAATTTCCATTGCTAAATAAGGCAGTTGTTAAATGAGTCACACCAATATTATGAACTTTTTTGCCAAGATTGTTAAGTGAATTACTACAGTTGTTAAGTAAATCATGTAGTCATTAAGTGAATCCAGCTTCCCCCATTGGCTTTGTTTGTCAGAGGTTGGCTGGGAAAATTACAAATGGTGATCACCTGACCCCAGGATAAATATGAAACTTTCATTACTTTTTTGTTATCTTCATATTTCTACTATAAGGAAGATTAGACTGATGGATGATGACTGTTCCTCCATATCATTTTTTTAATGTCATTTTATGAACATCATCATGATGTTCCATCAGATCTTTCTTGGCCAATTGTCCCATGTCTGGAGGATACATCTTATGAACATCATCATGATGTTCCATCAGATCTTTCTTGGCCAGTTGTCTCATGTCTAAAGGACACATCTTATGAACATCATCATGATGTTCCATCAGATCTTTTCTGGTCAGTTGTCTCATGTCTGCAGGACACATCTTATGAACATCATCATGATGTTCCATCAGATCTTTCTTGGCCAATTGTCCCATGTCTGGAGGACACATCTTATGAACATCATCATGATGTTCCATCAGATCTTTCTTGGCCAGTTGTCTCATGTCTAAAGGACACATCTTATGAACATCATCATGATGTTCCATCAGATCTTTTCTGGTCAGTTGTTTCATGTCTAAAGGACACATCTTATGAACATCATCATGATGTTCCATCAGATCTTTTCTGGTCAGTTGTCTCATGTCTGGAGAACGCATCTTATGAACATCATCATGATGTTCCATCAGATCTTTCTTGGCCAATTGTCCCATGTCTGGAGGACAATCTTATGAACATCATCATGATGTCCCATCAGATCTTTCTTGGCCAGTTGTCTCATGTCTAAAGGACACATCTTATGAACATCATCATGATGTTCCATCAGATCTTACTTGGTCAGTTGTCCCATACATAGACAACACTAGTGAAGAAAGCCGGTCCCCCAACATAGTCATCTGATAGAAGGTGTTGCAATTCATTTGCATCTTTTGCATATAATAATATCACAATGCCCAAGATGACACTTGCTTCCTTTTTCTCCCCCTAACATTTCAAGACAGACTAATGTACAATGTGGCAAAGCTGGTAAACACAAACTAAAATAGGAAAAAGTATTGAAGCATTCTGATTATTTTTTTACCCATATTATCTGGACAGAGAGCCCCCTCCCCCCCCAAAAAAAGCTAAAATTCAAGCCATATGTTACATCACTGCAATTTGGTTTTTAAAAAAATGTTAATGACAATTTGTGTCTGTCAGAAGATTTTCCTGTTATTTTTGACTTGTTGAGATGTGCTCAGTGAACAAATCAAACTTCAAGCCCACAACATGAATTGTAAAGATATCTAATAATATGGAATGAGAGAGAGAGAGAGAGAGAGAGAGAGAGAGAGAGAGAGAGAGAGAGAGAGAGAGAAGAAGAAGAGAAAAGAAGAAGAAGAAGAAGAAGAAGAAGAAGAAGAAGAAGAAGAAGAAGAAGAAGAAGAAGAAGAAGAAGAAGAAGAAGAAGAAGAAGAAGAAAGGGAGGGAGGGAGAGAGAGAGAAAGAGAGAGAGAGAAAGAGAGAGAGAGAGAGAGAGAGAGAGAGAGAGAAGGAGGGAGGGAGGGGGGAGGACCACTGGGAAGATTTTCAAACACTTTTTTCCCTTCAGCCCTTAATGTTATTCCCATGGGGGGGGGGAAATATCCTGAATTCTGATTTTCAACATTCCCCCCCCCCTTCAACCGTCAATTTTGCCCCCACTGGGGAAAAAAAACCCCAACCCTGAATTCTGATTTTTAACAACTTTTTCCCCCTTCCAGCCTCTACCCCCCCCCCAATGGAGAAGTTAAAAAAAAAAACCAAATGTTGATTTTCAACAATTTTTCCCTCCTTCAATATTTAACTTTAACCCCACGGGGGGGGGGACCCCACAAAAGCTGAATTTTGAACTGTTCTTGTTTTTCATTCAACCTAAGTAGATAGGAAAGTACAGTTTGTCAAAAATAGTTGCTCCACGTTTTCCTTGTGCATGGTATTTTTTATTTTTTTTATTTGTGTTTGTTTGTTTGTTTATCTTTTACACTTCTGAACCACCCAAATCTCCCTCAAGGAGGGAATCTTGTTTCATTGATATATTTCAACCATACAGCCTATTTTTAGACAAGTAGGAAGTTGTTGTGGAGATTATTATAAGTTAATTATAAAATATCTATTTGGGAGATTCCTGGACAAACAATTCAGGGGGTTTCTAAGGGGGTGAATTTTGATAATATTTCGTATAAAGAATTACTTATTTGGTGTGGTACTGATTGGCAACTAAAGTCTTTAGATTTGTTAAGGCAAGAAAATATTTTACAGTCATGGCTTCAATATTTGCAAATAGTGGAGAGGTAGATCTTAGATAAGAAAGTGGGAATCACTTTAGCAGATGAAAATTTGGTAATTCAGATTAAAGATCAGAAATATGCTCATATTAAAAGAATTTATAATGAGTTAATAAAATTGGATTCGGAAACAGAGTTAGTAAAAGATTGTATGATTAAATGGGCTCAGAATATTCAGGAACCGATTTTATTGGATTTATGGGAGTTAATTTGGATTAGAAATGTTAAATTTACGCAGGGTCAAAATTTGAGGGAAAATTTTTATAAAATGTTTTAATGTGGTAGCTTTGATGCAACTTATTTTCATGTTTGGTGGACTTGTAAAAATATTAAAGCTTTTTGGATTATGATTTGGTGGAACATTCAAAAGGTTTTTAAAAGGAAGATTAAGTTTACTCCCCAATTATTTCTTTTGGGTATTTTTGTGGATTTTGATGCTAAAGAAACTATTTTAATGTTGAATTTAATAGCAGCAGCAAGATTATTGGTGGGTCAATATTGGAAGAAAGACTCTCTGCCTTCTTTAGAAGAATGGGTATTTAAGATTTCTAATTTAGCAGAAATGGCTAAAATTTCTGCTTATTTAAAGGACCATTCACAAGAGAGATATGTTATTGTATGGAGAAGATGGATAGAATAGGTTCAGAAGAAATATGGAACTACAAAGTTTCATTTATTTTATGAGTAATGGATTTGTTTATAAAATTATGATGTTAAAGTTTGAAGAGAGTTAAGGGTTAGTATGATTTTGGTTATTGTATAATTAGTAAACTTAAAAGTACTCTTTATGAATGTAATGAAAAATCGAAAATAAAAACTTTTTACAAAAAAAAAAGAGGATTGTTCCTGTGTTCGCCTATATCTCTGGTATTTTTTGTCAGAAAAAAAGCTTATTACCCCCTACAATATATAATGCCAAATCTAGAGTAAAAATCTGGCTGACTGTGCAACCAACCATAATAATAGAGAAATACAGAATAATAGAAGGGACCTTGGAGGTCCTCTAGTCTAGCCCAACCCCCTGCTCAGGCAGGAAACCCTATACCATTTCAGACAAATGGTTGTCCAGTCTCTTCTTAAAGACTTCCAGTGTTGGAGCATTCACGGCTTCTGGAGGCAGATTGTTCCACTGGTTAATTGTTCTAACTGTCAGGAAGTTTCTCCTTAGTTCTATAATAGTAGTAGTAGTAGTAGTAGTAATAATAATAATAATAATAATAATAATAATAATAATAATAATAAGTTGGAAGGGACCTTGGAGGTCATCTAGTCCAACCCCCCGCTCAGGCAGGAAACCCTATACCATTTCGGACAAATGGCTGTCCAGTCTCTTCTTAAAAACTTCCAGTGTTGGAGCATTCACCGCTTCTGGAGGCAGGTTGTTCCACTGGTTAATTGTTCTCACTGTCAGGAAGTTTCTCCTTAGTTCTAGGTTGCTTCTGTCCTTGATTAGTTTCCACCCGTTGCTTCTTGTCCTGCCTTCAGGCGCCTTGGAGAATAGCTTGACTTCTTCTTCTTTGGGGCAACCCCTGAGATATTGGAAGATTGCTATCATGTCCCCCCTTGTCCTTCTCTTTGTTAAGCTAGACATACCCAATTCCAGCAACCGTTCCTTATATGTTTTAGCCTCCAGTCCCCTAATCATCTTTGTTGCTCTTCTCTGCACTCTTTCTAGAGTCTCAACATCTTTTTTACATCGTGGCGACCAAAACTGGATGCAATATTCCAAGTGTATGTTTTTGTGGCGCATAGTATTTTATTTATCTATCCTTCACATCTCTGAACCACCTGTCTTCTTCAAAGGGGGAGTCTGTTTCTTTGATATTTCAGATATACAGCCTATTTTGGGCATGTGTTCGTCTTTATCTATATTCTTTATCAGAAAGAAAGCATATAGGACTGGGCATCTGTTCCTCTATATCTATATTCCTTATCAGAAAGAAAGCTTTTACCCCCTATTATATCCTTCTCCTCCTCCTCCTCCTCTAAATTGACCAGCAAGGCAAATAGTTTCTCTTTTAAGTGCTAAATTAGCAGTAAAATTCTAAGCATCCAACCATCTCAATTTACCACATTCTCACTCCGTGGCAACCTATCTTATTTTTTGCAGTTGGCATTGTTCAAAATATTTCTCGCTATGCAGGAGTTCCTAGACCATCCAAATTCATCTTCCCTTTTTTTTTCTTCCCCAAAACAGCCTCTCTGAGTCCCCCCCCCTCAATAATTATACCCACTGAAATATTATACTCTTACACATATTTGCAAACAGATCCACGAGGGGAAAAAAAAAGGAGAATGAAAGATGCAATTTAAAACTTACCAGAGATGGCAGAATCAGCAGGATTAAAACACAGGAGCCTCCTTGCTTTGAAGACTTCATGTCAACACAAAAGAATTTTGTTCCACTCTGGCTTGGTCCCTTGCTAATATGAGGAATGGGGTGAGGTTTTTTTTTGTAACTCAAAGAACGTCAGGGATAAGCAGGGTGTGAGGTCTTACTCACAACTCCCTGACCTGCAGCTGACTGACTGTCCACCTGCTGTTGTGTTAGACACGCTGCTGTTACTTGCAAAGAGAGTGGGTGGCTTCTTCTAAAATCGCATGAATAAACTATCAGGGGATGACAAACAAACCTGGTTGAGTTAACAGGTGTCATCTGAAGCTAGACAACTTCCCCAAGCACACACAGAACAGAGACTGCTTGATCAGAGGACCTTAAACACACACACACACACACACACACACACACACACACACACACACACAGCAAACTGAGCTGGGGACGAATTGGTGTGGCTTATCAGCAAACATTACTTTCCTGAGGGAACTTCAGTGGTGTTTTACTTTTATATTTAGATATAGAATCAGAGGCTGGAAGGGGCCTTAGAGATCTTCCAGTCCAACCCCTTGGCTAAGGCAGGAGACCTTATACTTTCCACCTGAGTATTTCTTTCCCTTTTTTTCTACTAATAAAGTTATTAGATTTTTAAATAAGAAAGGTCAAAATTAACAGAAACTAATGATTAAGGAAGGAAAAGGGAGGGAGGGAGGGAGGAAGGGAGGGAGGGAGGAACAAGGAAAAGGAAAGGAAAGAAAAGGGAGAGAGAGAGGAAGAAGGAAGGAAGGAAAAAGGAGGAAGGGAGGGAGGGAGAGAAGAAGGAAGGAAGGAAGGAAGGAAAAAGAAAAGAAAAAGGAGGAAGGGAGGGAGGAAATAAGGAAAAGAAAAGAGAAAGAAAGGGGGGAGGGAGGAAGAAGGAAGGAGAGAGGGAAGGAAGGAGGGAGGGAGGGAAGAAGGAAGGAAAAAGAAAAGGAAAAGGGAGGAAGGAAAGGAAAAGAAAAGAGAAAGAAAAGGGGGAAGGGAGGAAGAAGGAAGGAGAGAGGGAGGGAAGGAGGGAAAGAGGGAGGGA